GCATTAGTTAATTTGGGAGAAGGCGATAACTAGGGAAAAAATAGCAATACTTATTAAAGAAACTACCTCATTATTATCATTAACACTAGAAACAGGAAATAAAAGTTAAGTCCGTTCAAAATTTTTTTTTATTAGAGAAAACAAGAACTCAAAACAAAAGGTGGGCTGGATTTAATAACAACCTCGACTTTGATGACTGTCACTCACGAATACCCGGAGCTTTCGGTCTCGCCTCCCCTCCCCTTTTTGTGGCTGCTAATTGAATGATCTTGGCCGGGAAACTAGACATGCCTAAAAACGTACTTTCTCTTTTTAATTCTTTTACATGGTTATTCTTTGGTTGAAGACTTCAACAAGTTCAGACTGTGCGTCTCTGCTGCATCTCCTTGCTAATCCTGCGACAACAAAACGTCCAGCTGCTAAATACATGGGATTAAAATTTCGACTTCTAAAAGCCATCGAACCAGCTTTCGTTCTCTGATTCTGAGAATGAAAAAATTAAATAAATAAATAAAGTTGTCAACTTGCTGCCAACCTCAATTAAGCTTAAGGTGTTTCATGGCAATCAACTCAGAAGGGCTTCATTTCAAAACACGAACTCACTGGTAAATAAAACTACGAAGCGATTGTGTGTTTTCGTTTTCCAAATAAAACTCGAAGCGGTTTTAATTAAGACATTTTAAAACTGAGAAATTGAAGAACCAAAAATTAGAACTACAATACACAAGCTTGCAATGATAACTTTGTATGCCTTAGTTTCAGCCAGGTTAAGTGAAAAATGGCAGTCAATAACTTTGTTTTCGGGAAAGAAAAACAGTTTACCTAACGCTCAATTTAGCTAAAATTACAGAAGTTATCATGAACTTACCTTTTCTGAATCTAATCGGCTAGTTGTTTCAGTGATCTGTGCCTGGTTATCCATAAAAGCAATTTCAGGAACTACAAAATAGTCAAAAACACGAGCAGCAAGAAGCAGAACAACTGAACCACAAGCTGCACCCAAAATGAAGCCGAGTGCGTGCGGGAGTCTCTCATAAGACTGGAAAGTGTGACTGCAAAAGTGACCGGAAATGCTCATTCTCCGCTTAATTTGTAAGGAACCAGTAGCAACCCCTCGTTTCAAGACCACGTGACCAAGAAAACGACGGGGACGGGCTCTCTGGACGAGAATGCGTCGCGCGCGACTAAGCATGCGCAGAAAATGTGCGCAGTAATAATAGTGGGCACCGTCCGTAATACAGGTTTCACCATACACTGTAGAAAATGAGTAATTATAGGTTTGTAGTTTTTCCTGTGCGCGGAAGGGGGGTATAAAAAATAAGACATAACTCAACAAGAAGCTGTACACAGCTTGAACTTATTGCGGTAGTTTTTATTCTTAACACTTTTGAGTGCTTTTTATAGAGAAAAAAAAAAAGAAAAGACTACATTCAGCAGCAAACACCTAAAACCATGAGTCTCAGTGCTTACTAAGACAGAGAAAATAAGTGGCAAAGACAACATCAAATGGTCTTATGCATCCATCAGTGCCTGAAGCTTGAATTATGCTGTGGTACCATTTGCATTCAAACCCCTACATTTATTATGCATGCAGCAAGCTTATATTATTTAACACACATAACAAATGTTTGGGGTCGTATGGAAATCTTACCCACACATTGAGGTGCAGGACCTGTAAAGGTTAATTATTACAGGTGTATGATGAAAAAATGAGGCTTGGTATAACCACATACAGCAGATAAACTCCAGATGAGATTATCATACTGTCGTATTTATTTCAACACCGTTTGCAACATGAAAAAACACAAACAAGCTTACACAAATAAAGTTTTTACAAGCAAAAATCGGTTTCAGGAGCCATTTCAGGATACACACTCAGTGATTTTGTGGTGTTTTAGCCTCGCGAGTAAAAAATGCGTTAGCTCGGTTTTGCTATTTTTTTAGAGTAAGAACCTTTCAGAAATCGGCAAAATCCTGGGGTCCATTTTTTTGAAGGTAAGAAAAGACTTCAAAGTATTCAAAAGAGCGTGTTCCGATTAACTTTACTGAGCAGTATTTTTCGCTGGATGGAATGTTTACAATTACAGTTTAATCGAGTAGAAGAGGTGGTTTTGTAAAATCAACATTTCCTTTTAAGACAAATTTTCCCCAGACGCAACTTATGAACAAAAAAATGAAAGCAAATCTTTACGAAAACTCGAGATTTCAGTTTCAAGAAAACTTCAGAGAAACGGCTCCTTACTTCGAGCAACCGGGTCACCAGTGTCTGCACAAGCTGCACAAGAAACCTTTTTCGTAACTTGGCGAATAGGAAGATGGAAATAAAACTCTACTTTTCGTCACAGGCTGGGAAGCAAAATTTAAAGTTCTGACGATTCCATATAACCGATTAGGCCATTGTTTGCGAAAGGATTTTTTAACTGCGATTTGATTTGCAATGTTTGAGATTTCTGTAAAGATCAAACTTTTGCGCATACCGATTTTCACACTTGAATTGATCCGTCAAAACCGTCAATCAAATTGAACTTAAATGGTTTCCTTATTGAGTTTCAATCTTGGTGAATAGTGGCTTTAGGAATATTAACCTTTTCGAATATTCCGGTTCTATTCACCTCGTGTTCAAAAATATTAGGCGTAATTGTTAATTGTCCAGTGTGAAGTACGGTGCAAAATATCAGTCAAAGCAGGAAAAGGTGTTTTCCACATGATTCCTGGTCATGTCCTTGAGAAAAATACTCGAAGCTTTGTAGGTTTTTTCCTTCCTCTTTCAACAAAAAACCCGTCAGCACAGTCGCTTGTACGGTCGTCTTTGTAGGACCCGCGCATTTTGTGTTCAACGCTTATCCAGGCCGCAATCGGCTACTTGTCCTCTTTCCAGCTGTTCCAACAAAAAAGATGGTCCACGCGGTCGCTTTAGCTGTATTTCTGCCTTTTTTTTGTAAAGGATCCGTTTGTGTAGAAGTTTTAAACAGTTTTGTATGGTAGATTCTGAGTTGAAGTAGGACAACTTAATCAACTCCACATCGTCCCTCCACTTAGGCAGCCATTCTTTTCATTTCTTGACCCCGCCTCGCTTTGGCGCGCTGAATCTTCCGGAAGACAACCAGTTTAGCGGAAACTGTTTTCGCATGGTCCACATAATTGTGAAAATAACTTTTTTAAAATTAAGATATTCCAAAGGCGTGACTGGGAGACTCCTTCTCTGTCCTACTATGGCTCTTACTAAAAGTTAATAATCGAGTCGTCAGTCTCTTGACAAGAGCTAGGTAGGTGTTAGATTTTTTGATTGGCATTGAATTCTACACAGCAGCCTATCAAAACTTTGCAACCACCCATGAAAATTCTCTTAGTAAGGTGTATGTTAACATTTATTCTCATTTTTCAAAGCAATAAAAACTATTCTTTTGTTCCCTCTGTCATATACCTAAATGTTCAGACTGTAATTCTGTGTTACACGTTTGTGTGTCTATGTGTTTTATAGATATCTCACTGCGTATACTCAAGAAGACTTCCCTCTTCAATTAAAGCTCCGACAAAATGTGAACTTGGACGCGAAAGTTGAAAGAAAAGACAAACGACTGTCAGTGTTGCCTGACAAGTGCTTCGCTACACCAACACCCAACCAAAACGACGCAAAGAGAGTTTTAATATTGAAAAACGGGTAAGGTTCCCTATAATTCGTAGGAAATGTGTAAGAAGAATAACTGTTTTTGGATTTGCATTGACATGTTCGGTAAAGAAAATTCGACCGGCTAAAGACGTTAATAATTAATCTTTAAAAAAAATGAGGCTAATAGATAGCTACTGTAGCTTTCGTTCTGCATTAAGTCACCCTGGCTATTTTGAAAAAAGAAAAGCCCCAAAAGTGTGTTAGTGAATGTACTAAGTATAGCCTTGCTAAAACTCGACCTCTCTTATTCGCGAAGACGAGTTAAGCGAGCTTCAATGAAGAGCGAGCGATAAAGTTTCTCCTAATTTGAATTTGAATCACATAAATTTACGCGGGAAGAATGAATTACATCTTCTGTGTCTGGACTCTGAAGTGTCGTCACTCTCCTATTGGTCAATTGTCATGACGTCACTGTGGAATTTATAAAACTTTCAGAAAGTCTAACTAAAGCACGAACTGTGGATGACAGCTGCCCTGTGGATGACACCGTGAAATTCTACCGTTCCCCCACAGGAACGTATCGTTTTGGTTTAGAAGCCTTCGAGTTTGTTGATCAGCCTTTTGTCTTCATTCACTGTCACGTGATCATCTGTAATGCATCCAATCCCCAGTCAAGATGTGCCCGTGGATGTGAAAAGAAAGCGCGGCTTCGACGCGAAGTCGAACATCACAATCTGTTCTCCTTGGCTCAGGGACCAATCACCCTGGATCATGAGATCGAACTGGATCAGAAACACGTGGAGAAATTCTCAGTCAATAATATGGACTCTTTTGGAAAGAGAGAAGTACAGCTTGAGAAGTTTAACATTCACAAAAAAGGAGTACATTTACTTAAAGTTTAGGACTCTCGAGATCCCTCACAATTAGCATTGTGTAATTTTCAGACGCTGTGGCATTTAGCCATTTGCACGATAGAGTCAAGGGGACGTTCGCCCGAAAGGGGCACCTTTTTCAGGTTTCACGTATATTTAACAATTATTCCTCGAGCCCGAATGGGCTCTAAGTCAATAGCCCATGAGGCAGAAGGCCGAATGGGCTATTAACTCAGAGGCCATGAGGGCGAGAGGAATAATTGCTTTAGTAAAATCCAACTAGTTGGTCAACAATATCGAGACAAAACAACTTTAGCTAGCAAGACGCGATTCAGCCGCCATTGTTTTGGTTTTCAAAGCCGGCGCTTTTCGTTACTAGTGGGCTATAACATATAGCCTAGTAGTAGCTCAACCAATCAGAATGCAGCATTGATAATAGTCCACTGGTTGGATTTCACTAAAAAAAATTATTGAACGGTACCTAGTGACAAGAAGACTTAGTGGTACTGTTAGTAAGTATGTAAAAACGGACACCATTTAATTATGTAAACTGTACGAAAAAGGTGTACCATCTCATTTTGCGGAGCGGATCCTTCCCGCGCAAAGCGCTACCACTGGTTTCCTCGCCGGGAAACCAATGGTAACGTCGCCAAATGTCGGCTGTTTTCTCAGGCTACAAATAAACATTTTTATTTACACATTTATAATTTTACAGCGGCATAAAGTCAGAATCCTCTTCCAGTATATTTTTTCTGATTCATTTCTTCTCTGTTTTGCTGACAGGGATGGACTCCTCTCTACTTGCAGCCATGGCCGCCGTGACAGCGGTTACCATATTTAGTGTGGCGTTCGTGATTATGAAGAAGAGATCAAATCATGCTGGTTATTTTCGAATAAAGGAATGAAATTTTTGTAGAAAGGAAAAATAAAAGAACGAAAATGTCGCCTTGAAAAATGTCTGCTAATCGCGTGGTGTAAACTTTCTCTTTTTAAAATGGTACAGACCTACTGAAAGGGAATTTCACCTCAAATTGCCAGACCTTTTTAGCTTGTATGTTTTGTAGTCCGATGTAAGACCACCTGCTATTACTGCAGAGAACGTTTTCTTTCAAACCTTGTCCTAACTGCGTATTCATGATTCATATAAAGACCAAAGACAGATTCCCTTAAGAACGTCACGTGGTCTGAATTGGGAAAATGACACGTTCAAGCTGAAAAGGTCTAACCTTAACCTATTCAACTCTAAGAATTTTGCCGAAAAAAGCATTTTGAAGCTTGTCGAGCCATTTTCTAGTCCCTGTCTAGCTATAAAGAGTAAAGACTTAGCACAAAACCGTTTACAGATGCAAAATAATAGCTTCTGATGCTTGGGGTTGCGCAGAAATCAGGCAGACTCGGCAGTCTTGACTTTTTCTTTTAGCTATCTCTCCTCCCCTCATTTCTTTCCCTTTTCTTGTCTCAATTTTTCCGTTTTCCTTGGCACCTAGTAGGCTTAATTTTGGACAGGTTTTGGAATCTTAGGATTAGATGAAAAATAAGGTAGGTGGGTAGTGGAACAAGGTTTTCGTGGGAATTTTTCGGGTCAAAGTCACATGGTTTTTCTCCCTTTTTCTCCGGTATCCTTGACTGAATTGTGCTCATTCTGGTATGATTTCAAAGATCTCTTCACTCTGCACAAGTTGGCTAACGAAGTTGTCCTTGATCGTTAAAATTGATGACGTCACAAGAAGGGACGTGGATCCCAGCGGGCGGTTAAGGGGCGAATGAGTTTAGTTTACATAAGCATTGTCTTTTATTTCTCTTGGGACGATTAAAATACCCAAGAGAAACAAAGGTTGTGCACAATTTCGGGGGGTAAACAAGCGTGACGAGTATGGCAATGAAAAAGTGTTGAATATCTCTTGAAAAAGCTCTCCCGAAGGAGGGTGTGGGGGACGTGGGGGGAGGAACTCCCCAAAGTTTTATTTGGGAGGACACAGTCTTGAAGTCCAGTCCCTTGCCCTTTTATACACCATTTTTTGCACAAAAGGTACCCCTTTCGTATGCCTTCCATTGACAAATGGAACCGCTATATCATGGGTAAATGAAGTTTACAACCCTTTTAACTGCTGCAAATGTTCTATATTTTAGCTATGAGTATACCACACTTAACTGAAACCAAAAAGTTCTTTGGACTTCTTCAATGTCATAAATTGCATTATTTTGTTACTTGGCCTTTTGGGTCCTTGCACGCGGAAATGACAGATTTCCCTACCCTTTGATATACCTGAAACCTAGAAAAGGTACCCCTTTCGAGTGGAGCCTCCCTGTAGAGGCCAAAAGAAGAAATACCTCCCTCAACAAATATCCCAATATTGGTTTCCGTGTGGATAGTGATGATATTCTTGGAGAGCACTATATAAAACATTTCGAAACTTTTGAACAAAAGGGGCCTTGCTTGTTCTACGTTTTATTTTTTCTCTTTCACCACATGCTCTTCTTTAACAGAATCTTTTGATGAACAAAAGCAACAGCTAGCTGTGATCGCTAGTCTAAATGTTCTTAAAATATCCCTTAGAGTTTCCTGGAACTCTGTGTGCTTAAACGCGTAAATAAAAGGATCGCACGCACTGTGTAGATAAATGGCCCAAAATGACAGCTGCCCCAGAAAATCAGGTGGGTTTCCCAAGTCGTAGGTCGCTAGTACCAAAAAGACGAAAAAAGGCGTCCTGCAAACTAGAAAGGTTAAAAACACTACCGACATTGTCATGCACAATTTTGTTTCCAAGGTAACGGGTGATCCGGCAGCTGGCGCCGGAGATATCGATGACGTATAAACCGCCATTCGCGATTGATGTTTGTGCAGCGCTCGTAAAACGCTTAGGTAGCTAAAAAGCATGAAAGCACAAGGAAATAAATATCCACAGAGCATCAAAGTGATATTGTACGAAATTTCTGCTTCTTTGGTCGTGTGGTAGTATTCGCAGTTGAAAATGTTTGATGTGAACTCGTAGCGGCCCCAATACAGCACAGGTCCGATGGCCAGAAAGATCGAAATTGTCCATGCGCACAACACCATAACGAGGCAACGGAAGTTAGTGAGGGATTTGTTCAGCGGTAATACAACGGAAACGTACTGATAAACACAGAGAGAACAAATGGTAAGAACGCTTGCCAAGGCAAAGAACGTGTTAATGAAACCATTGAAATAGCAGAAGCGTTTTCCGATTGTCTGAAAGGAAAAAAAATACGAGTTAGCGTTTAATTTTGCGAAAAGGACAGCAGTCTTACTGCCTCAGTCACTGAGTTTAAATTATGATTTAGCCTGCGTATCAGGCGCTAATTTTGTTAGAGCGAAGGGACGGGAGCACACGCGGGGTGTGTTCCCCTCGCGTGCTCTTCAGGTGTTCAGTTACCATCGCAATAAACTTTTTCCTTTCTCATCCTTGGAATCACCTGGTTGCCTTAAGGTTTCAGACTCCCCTTTCCCAAGAAAGAAATTTCAAGATTAAAGGAATAGAAAAAATTATTCAGTTGTAAAAGTGGAACACATTTCTGAATTTTGTATCTGTGGATACACCCTACGCGTGATCATTCAAATGAAAGCTATTCAGCAGTACTTTAACATGGTACTATTAATTTAGAATGTAGTTCTAACTTTTGAATCTGCTGATGAAATCTTATGGTATGATCATGAACATTCATATGAAAACTCTTCAGCAATACTATGTTTTGTATGCAGCTCTAATTTTTGGGTCTTTGGATGAAATCTTATGATGTGACCATTCAAATGAAACCTCTTCAGTAATACTTTCACATGGTCGTACTATATATTTTGTATGCAGCTCTAACTTTTGAATCTGTGAATGAAACCCAATGGCGAGACCATTCAAATGAAATCACGTCCGTTGTACTCTGACATATTACTATTTATTTAGTTCTAACTTTCGAGTCTGTGGACAAATTAGCATCCCCTGCCGGAAAAAATCGTTAGGTTGGTTGAAAGCGGCAAGCGGAAAAAAAGACAGCCGTGTTACCAAATGGCGAGGAAAATGGTCACGTGATCATCTTATGGTGCTTTATTAACACTCTCTCTATTGCGTTTTCCTTTACCTGTTCGTGAAAAAGAACTGTGGCCACAGCAAACGGCATGCATGACGCAGACATGCCTACATCGGCGATGGCTAAGTTCACTAACAAAAGATGAAGCTGAGTCCTCATAGAGCGATTCCAAAACACCACAAGACAAACCGAGATGTTACCTAGGATACCGATTAACGTAGTTATGCCCAGTAGAATTCCAATGATTAGAACAATGCCAGATAGCGGCATTCTTTCCGTTATGTTAAAGTACAGCTGATCCGCCGGACCACCGAGGATAAGTAGGCGAACCAAAAAATCTTTTCAGCTCGAGAGATTGCTTCCCCTGAGAAGAACACCAGGAATATATAGAGCGGCTGAAGCCGTCAAATTACGAATTTGGTTAGAGCGCTTCGACAAGTCAAGGTAGTCTTTCCAGGCTTGTTTCATGAAAAGAGGTTTTCTTTTAAATGGCAAACCAAAAATGTAAGCCACCCCTGCCGAATCTGTGAATGGTTAGAATTTACCGTCCTGGTTGGAGTGCTAAAGATTGATCACGCTTCGTCAATGCGAAGTGATTTTCCTTTACTTCGAAGCTTGGTGAAATCTTCGTTGGTTGATGATGTATGTGCAGTTACCTCATCCGTCGAATCTTGTTTAAGTACCTTTCTAGATGGTTTCTAATCGAGCGGACTTAAACATCATTAAATTTGTTGACCATCTGATCACAATTGCGTGTTGTTAAACTTGTTACCATAAAATTTCTCGACATCGAAGTAGAACCTTCCAATCACCTGCGATCACCCGGTGATATTGACTGGGATCCGCATGAATTTCTTTCACCGTCACAGTTTTCTTAGTGATGTACTTTTCTCCAGGTGTAGTTCATTTTTACATACATATTGGGATAAATGTGATTTTTTGAGAAATTTGTTCCGGCGTCTGGTGATATCGATTGTATGATTGTTTTTTAGTAAGGTGGCATACAACCTGTTGGTACCTGTTTCTATTAATTGTCCCTCGGGCTGGTTGTTAGTTTTCACCCGAAGACAAGACAACCTGTAAGATTTTGGTCGGAAAATTTCCATTTGTGCAAACGCTTTAGCCCAGTTGTCCGTGCGACAGAGTTCTCGGCGAGTCTCTCTCGATGATGTCACAGCTTACGGTAGAGTCCAGGATTGACCGAGCTGAGAACGTCTAGGGACTAGGCTTTGCCAACACGAAATAAAGGAAAAAAATTAACAGGGAATAGAAGGCCCCGGGGCGGAGGGTACTCCCATATATGGACTACAGGGATATGTGCCGCTCAAAAGGGTATGCTTTTTACCTCTCTGAATCTAGATTAAGCTAGATTAGGGTCTATAAATCACCCTTTATCTCTGTAAGAGGGATATATTTTACTTCATTTTGATCTGGAGAATTTTTCCCCCCATAATCCCTGATTGTTCTTGATAAAGCTTGGAATTACGTTCCCCTAGTCGTTTTATCAGTAAGCGGGCCACAAGAACAGGATTCCTATCTTCATAAATTTCAATAATTATTGTCTGGAACAGGGTTGCAATTCATCTGTTTTGAGCGCAGGAGCGAAACAGATGTAAATTTAAGTATCAACGACTAGCTGCACACTGCAAGGAGGAAACTAGAGGTAACAGAAAGAGAGACGAATTTCTGGGAAGAATGAACACTTAAGACTTGGCCGAAATTTGGAACCACGAACAGAAACTATTGGGAACAAGGTGATCCACTTTTGGGGAAGCTGCCCGTCTACAGAAGCCCGGGTTCGGTTCAGAGAATCGGCAGAATCCGGAGATTCATGGGACTCGCATGTGGCGGAGGACACACTGATAGTGTGGGGTCTATGCAACTAAGGATTAAAAAAACAAATTAAACACTGGGCTTTGTTCATTTTGCCCTTTATCCTCGGGGATCACAAAAATGAAAGAAATGAAGTGAACAGTCACCGATAACCACTTAGCTTGAGGCATAAGTCGAGTTAGGGGAAAGAGAAAAATTACGGGCATTTCAGGGAGACCATAATCGCGAGAGGAGAATCCCATGTAAAAGTGACAGGGTTACTCGTTGTCTTCAATCCGTAACATTAGAACTTGGGTCAATTGAAGGAACAACGTTGACATGTTGTGCTTGACCTCCTTTTCACTCTCCCTTTCAAAGTTGGCCTCAAAACTGGACAAGTCTACAGAAAAAACATTTACAAAACAACATTGGAAGAGAGAAAGACAGGTATCAGAGCAGTGTGACCCAAGTTGAGTGTCCTTGATTGTAGCTTAAGAATAGGAATTGCAGATTTTGTTCTCACTTATGGTGTTCTAGCCTGCGAAGCGCAGACGTATTTCCGGTCGTCGCTTCTCTCCCTCCTTTTCGGAGGGAGAGAAGCGACGACCGGAAATACGTCTGCGCTTCGCAGGCTAATGGTGCTCAGCACCAAAAGGTGTTGTTTAGCATAGAAATATCTATATATTAAAAGATATCAGTAAACGCCATCGTACACAGTATCGTATTGTGCAGGTGTATGGTCCCCTCTGGAGGTCAAAAAAAGCCTGAACCACACTCAGGTTAGTCTCCTTTAGGGGTTTAATTCTAATTTTCCGACGAGTGTCTTAGTGCATTATTCATATGGGAGGTCTCCCATGCATGGCTCATTTTCTGCATATAGTGAAACTAGAAACGCCGAAACACTCCGGAACACCCCAAAAATGAAACTAAAGAGAAACCCTTGCCCTATGCAGTAACATTTTTAAATATATTCCTATTAGTTTGATTTATTTGACTTAAGTTTGCATACGGTGGCAAGGCGTGCTTAGTCCCGGGTTTGCTACATGACTAAGGAACAAAAACGCCACTTAATGTCACATGCCAAAAAAGGAGAGTCTGGTGTACTTTAACTTGTCACAGTACTGTTGTCTACTACGTGTATCGGGCGACTTAAATAAATTAAATCTGGAACATTTGGAAATGGTATCTACTCGAAAGGCTTCATCATCCAAGAGAACCATCAGCTGCCATATGTCATGTGTACCTCATGTAAGATGTGAGGAACGGTTACGCTGCAGCTTAAACCCGCCATGATGTCAAGTTCGATGGAGTAATGTCCTTAGAATATTAATCAGGTTTTTCTTTCGTTTTCACAATTTTAAACTGCGAAGAATTTTCAGAAAGTGAATCGGATTCCGAAACTGAAGTTCGCCCATTTTTGTTAACTTAAACAAACGTTGTATGTAATGGCATTTAAAATATATTACTACTAGGAAAGCATTTGGCAAATGTTGATTAAATTGATCCTTAGTTCACGTTCAAAGACTCACTCTTTAGTGGCATATAGCAAAGGGCTGCCTTTTCGTTAACCTTCCGTAAATTTTGCCAGTCATCTAAATGAACAGGATATAACTCTTCTGGTGGGATTCTGATGCCACTATCAATTGGAAATTTGTTTATGATGAAATAAACTCTCCCCTCTATTTCCACGGCACCAAGCTTGTTTGGTGGAATTCGGCTTTGATTAATAACGGACCACGTGTTATTTTCTTTGTCATACACTTCTACAGGTGCCGGTTTACCATATGGTGTGCCACTTTCTAAAACAGAAACACAACCCCCTGCAACGTACAATTTGCCTGATACTACAAAAACACTGGATCCAAAGTGAGGGTGGCAGGTTGATGCTTTTTCCTCCCACTTATTCCTCAGTGGATCAAAGCAATGTAGCACTGCATTCTGAATCTGCCAGGAGGACTGGACTTTCATTTTATGTCCATAAAGTACATAAAGGTTTGAGTGCATTGCTGTTCCACCACTGTTATAGAAAGAATTGGAAGAATCTTCTTTAATATTCATTTTTGCAAATCTTTGCCATCGACATTCAGCTATGTTATATCTTTCAGGAATCTGGCTGACACTGGGCAGGATTGAATACATGTAATCTCCGATACTACAAAGGTTGCTGATCACTTCACTAGAAACAAGCTTAAATTCCCATACATTTCTTTCTACGTCAAAGCATTGAACCCAGTTCCCATGACCAACATACACTTTACAGCCAAACGTCACTGCGTAAGGGTACTTTGTATTAATTTCAGGTGCTACTGGCAAGGTTATCAACGGTTTCCATACTTTAGCTTTAACATCAAAGTACTTCATTTGAATCTTAGAAGTGACAGCAACAAGAACCTAACATGAAATAAATAAATAAATAAATAAATAAATAAAAATTAGCCAGGATAGCTTATATGGCAAAAAAGTAACCTTTAAACGATCATCGTCAAAAGTGTTAGAAAGGCTGCTACTTTTTACCTCTTTTTTTCCTTTCTACCCCGCCCCTGGCCCAAACGTTGAGCAAATTGGGAATGTTTTTTTTAATTGTTCTGTTATTTTCCAAAATTGAATAGAGGGGGGTGGGGGATATTTAGCAAAAGAGAAAACTCTCTGTTTTGAAGAATATAATGGACCACTGTTAAGTTGTACAACCTTCCCAATTACTTTTGTCTTAGATTGTAGCCATAGTGTAAATAAGGCCTCGAAATGCTACGGTCGACGACAACACCTTCAGATTCCCTACGTTTTGCGCGCAATTGATCATAATACTGCATGCTACATAAGTAAATTAACGGTCACTCGTTTCTTCTTATTTCAGAAACTGAAGTAGCAATAATTTTTTGAACCACAAGTATACTTTCGGAAATAAAATTTCGTATTAAAAGAGACATGGTTCGAGTATTTAATCCATAATCGCTAGCACGTTTTTCATTGTCCAAAACATATCGTTGGTTTGAATTATAGGCTTAAACACAAAACTGGGAATTTTTGAAGTAAAGTCGAAGCTCTCGTAAGCGACCACCACGGAAATTCAAAAAAAGTGGTCGTAACTAGAACTGGTTGCTAATACGAGAAAGAGCTCTCTTTAGCGACCGCAAGGCAAAACAATAAAGGGTGGTCGCTTACGAGAGCTTAAAAAACTCAATAATAATTCGTTAAGAAAAGACGTCAAAAGAACAAAAGAAAAGTGCGGTTGGGCAATCCCAAAAGTTGTCGCTTACGAAAGCTTTTCATAACAACGTTTAAGTTGCAGTTTAAACGGGGTTTCACAAAGGTGGTCGTAACTAGAGCTGGTCGCTTTTAATACGAGAGCTGTCTCAAGGAGGGCTTCAACAGTATATTACTATCGTTATTACAGCTAAACGTAAGTCTCCACCGTTTAAGGTGGCTTTTGATTTCGTTTATTCTAGCCTGTGTACAGCCCTTTTTCTGAGGGGAGGGGAAGGCTTTACAGGCTAGTTTTATTCTCTAGTTATAGGCCTAAGCTTCAACAAAGGCATAGTTACGTCTTTGCCTTTCTTTCTTAAAGGGATAAAAGAATGTGAATCATCGTCGGCGGCTTCAAGATACTGTTTCTGTAATTTGCTTTTATTATTGAGCTCACGAAATGAGCTCGTCATGATTTGCCACGTATACTATTCAAATTAACCGCTATTCGGCCACTTTTCTCAGTAAGAATAATAGATTATATATTCTCATTTATCTTTCATAAAAAAGGATGAACAATGGAATTTAAAAGTTTCAGTGCCTTTTTACAAAACATTGTTTTTGTTAGTATTTAAATACAACCAGAGCCCTTGTCTCAAGAGCCAATAAGCCTTTGTTGGCACCTTCGATCACGCTAGCAAAAATATCACCTATGGATGGATGAAAACGAAAGAATTACTGCTGCTGATGAGTGATGGACTTCTATTTCTGTTCCCAGTCATGAACGTTTATGTTCCAAGCCTCTTACAATTAAAACCCACTAGTTTTGCAAACACGGGTAAGCTGAAACACGGACAAGAAGCTCACTCGGGTAAATTTTTTGTCATTGATTAGGAAAAATAAATTAGACAGAAGAACTGAAAAAAAAAAACTTTTAATATTTTTGGGTCTCTTACCAGGCCGTTTGAGCGTGGCATGATTTTCTTTCCACCAAAGGTAGAGCTTGAAGGAATTTGGTTATACACGAGTGATTCGAGAAGAAGATTTTGAATCTCTGGCACTTGTTTCATCTCCTCTGTATTGATTTCTCTGATTAAATCCTTGATGTCCACCAGCCCAAGACGAACAGCTCCAATAACTTTGGCGGCAGCCGACATTCTCTCTTCTTTTTTGTACTTAATCCACTGCATCACAGATTTGAAAACAAATGTCTCTGAAGGAGAAATCAAGTCATCTCGAAGAACAAGGTTCAAAAGCTGATCTGCATCGATATTGGACAAGAATTCTTCACTTTCACAAACATCCTTGTATCTCGACGCCATCTTGTGTTGTGTAGCCTCTTGCAGGTCTTTCAGACCGTGTCGATCAGCTATGGTGCAGATGCGACAATAGGTTTCAATGTCAGATCGAAGCTGAACAAATTCGGTCTGAAGGTATTCACAACATTGTTGAACAACACTTGTAACTTGGAGGTGATCGGCTGTAACAAGAACTTCAAAAACGTTTTCATCGTTGACTGCCGTGAAATTTCCGCTGTAGATGGAATCAAGCACGTTCTTTAAAGCAGCGGCTGAAATATTTTCGTCTTTTAGCTCGATCACCTCCTGGTTTGCCTCCTTCATGCCATGGGCAAACATGGCGTGGAAATAATCGCTACTGGCAGCAAGCACAACACGATGAGCTGAGAAAACGTCTTCTCCCACTTTTAAGCGAACGTCGATGAATTCATCTCGTTCTCGAAACTGGTCACACTTTGCCAATAGCAGCTCGGAATAGGCAGCCATATTTGAAAGTAGCTAAGGAACAAATGATAAATCAGTTCCTGAAGAAAAGTCGTTAGAGAGAATGTATGAGAACCGCTAGAATTGGGCCTGATCTCAGGTTAACCCTGAAGGTACAGACGGTGTTCTTTTTTTAATTATACTAATTATTTATGTCAGCTCAAACAATGCTATTATCATTACGGTTGAGTAGCATCCCTGAAATGTTCAATATCTATTGCGTTATAGACAATGAGTAGCAAACGGGCGTTTTCAACAAAAACAAGACAAGTTCTTGAATTCAAAATTGGTTCATGCTTTAATAACATGAGTATATCGAGTTATGGATGCATTCGGGAAGTTTGGAGAGCACGAGATAAGCTTCTTGAGTGTCCTCCAAACTTTACAAATGCATCCGCAACTCGATATACGCACAGCTACAGGGGCGTACTACCCGTACGCACGGTAGGCACGTGTGTACCTAAAAAAGTCGAGGGAAAAAAAATAATGATGAAATACGAGTAAAAAAGTGAATAATGAAAACAAAGAAAAAAAAGAAAGGATAGGATAGATAAAACAATTATTTTAAGAGCACGATTTGGCTCAATTCATTTAACAACGGACTGTCAGTTTAATTTTTCTTTTTATTATATAGATACTGATGAAATACCAGGATTTTTCCTTTTACTGAAAAGTAATATCTTCATCGCTCGCAGTGAAGATACTATTTTTATCTTTCACGTGTGAGGATATTGGTGTCGCCATAGTTACTAACATTAATTTTGATTTTTGGAACAGAAAATCATAAGTATTATTGTCGTTATTTCTCCTTTATAACTTTATATCCGAGTTTCATAACATTTTTGTGACAGGCATTTTGCGATAGGTGACCTCCTTAATTGCACTATTTTGCTGTTTCGAAAATGAGTAAAAAAAAGTTGTGTTTTATGTAGGAATTTCATCAGCATCTATAAAATAAACACAACATTACATGGCCGCTTGGGGATACGAATTTTATTTTCTCTTGCTGAAAGTATCTCTCGCTCGTTCCCTTCGCTCACTCGCGAAGGATACTTTCAGTACTCGAAGCTAAAATTCGTATCCCCAAGCGGCCTTGTAATACCCTCTATTTACACTGAAATGTCCGCTTCCGGCAGAAAAGAGACATGATTCATAGGTGGACAGAATCTTCAATGATATATTTAGAGAAACGGCGGGTGGGTGCAAATAGCAAAGGGTGGATTGATGGTATAAAGGATAAACTCGGTTGTTTTCACTTAAGGCTGTCTTCGCACTAGACAATTCAAGGTAGGGGCATTTGGAGAATTGTGTTTACCTCCGAAAAAATCCTCGCTACACCCCTGAGCTAAAAGCAGGAACCAATTCTTTTGTAACATAGTCTCCCACGCAGCCGGTTTTGTCTCGTCAAGTTAAAAAGGATGACAATAATATAAGAAACTTAAGGTCACATCACATTTACATGAGTGTATTTTGCCTGTATTGCATTGGTGTACATTCATCGCAGTCACGATTTTGCCAACTTATTAATAGTTCATTTTTAATACAAGCGAGGGTGTTCGCAGCTGTATTATCTGCTCTGTTCGGTTTGTATCGTCGTCCGACTATCTGAACTCGCAAGCAGATTCACGTTGCTTAAACACACAGGCTATGTGAGCATTTCACTTTTCAGCTTCGTTTCGAGCGCTAAAAAGAGAACAAACAGTACCTTACAACCTGCGGTGGATAAACTGGAGGAGAAAACCTCACATAAGGAAAAAGACGAAAACAACAAAACAACCCGTTTGGACAAAGATGATTTGTTCTTGAATTTGCTTTATTAGCCTTGCACAATTGATACTTTACTAAAATACATATTTCATACACGGCCGAGTTACCTATATACACGCAAGCTAATTAAGTCAGTACAAAATATCAAGCAAAGAGTTTTCTTTGAGCAGTCAATTATACTTATCCTGAACACCACTATGGGAATGTGCTAACCCGTTTCTTATACACAGCTGAAAGGGGCAGTTCCTTTTAACTTGCAGTATGGAAAAGGTCTTGATAAGAGCCTTTGAAGTAAGTACTGCAAGTTATGAACTGAGTTATATCTGCCAGAATATATGGCCAAAGCTCGAACTACATGAAGCGATTAGTTTAACAGCGTTTTTCCGTCACGAATTGCAACCAAAACAAAATACCGTAAATCCACTATTAAACCCCCCCTTTTTCAAGGGAAAAAAGTTAAGAAGCCCCCCTCCCTCCCCTCTCCTACTTATTCTTCACTGATGGACTGTGTTAATCAATCACAACTGTAAAACGCCGTGTGGACTGATCCGGGATGGTTTATTTACCAACTGGAAGTACCTCCAACCTTCTTGTGCTTGAGCTTTTCGACTTTGTATTCTAGTTCTTTAGGGAGAACTGATACCATGGTATTTTCTAAATTAGACAAGAGCCCCCCGCCCCTTAAATAGGCTTGAAATAAATAAGCCTCCATGGGGGCTTAATAGAGGATTTACGGTATTGAATTTAGCGGGCAGTACAGTGAAATAGACCGTTCCAACATACCTAAGGCACCAACTCGAGGCTTGAGTGGACAAAATGCATGTGATTTGTATGAAATTGTCCACCCGAGGAGCCTCGACCTCATTTCTTTGTGTTTGCTCACTGGAACGGAATGCAGGAAAGGTCTACACGGCTCGCTAAACTGACCAATCAAAGCGCACTACTAATAAAAATTATCTGTATTTACCAAATTGGAGGATAGCGTTTTTCTCCCGATTTATCTCGAAATATGCTTGGCTATTCACCGCTTTGACGTCCCATTTCGCAACAGTTTCAGAAAAAGACATATCCGGTAATCGACAAATGAAACAGAATGTACATGTACCAACAAATACAAGAAAGCCAAGAAGATTGGCTTGTCAGTGTTTACTGGTAGGTAAAAACCATTTTCTTGCTGAATTTGTAACAAAAGCTTGAAAATGAGCTTGAAAAATCCCCGAAACATAGTCAATAAAAAAGTAAACGAAGCCCTAATTATTACTAAGTCACGTATTTTTTTTTTACACAAAAATTTACTTTTCATGCTTATCCAACTGATTTGGTAAATACGAAAACTATCCCCTCCCCCTCAGGGTCGGTGCACAGCGCTAGATGCTAACTTCGACGCTTTGCGTTCCAGTATATATCCACGTTTATTCCGGCACACCGCTACGCATCGGGGGATAGTTTTACACTATACTAGCACTGATTGAAAGAGTTTCTAGCTGAGGGATGGTCGGAACCAAGTGAACTAAAACGTTGAAAACGCCAGGCCGACGTTTTAAAGTATGATTAAGTGTTGATACAGAAAAAAGAACAAGGCCGTTGATTATGGTTTGTGACACCAAGATTATTCATGTCTTTATCTCTTTTTTCTACAAGTTCATCTACAGTCGTAGCTCCATAAATGCATGGTCGATTTCACGATCAATTTGAAAGAATTATCACTGCCACTGACTCTCTTCTTGTTGCTCACATTGCTTCAGCTTTGATTAATAGAAAGGTCTTGCTCCCTGGCCAATTTATCGCGAATTTATCGGATGAAAGTGCTGAAAAAAAAAAAAAAAAGGAGAAAAAGAAAAGAAGAAGAAAGCAAAGAAACAAAGTTACATCATCATCATCACCATCACCATCACCACCACCACCACCATTATTTTGTCCTACTGAAATGCATAACTTCCTCCAAGCGACAAACAAACACTGCATTTTAACCTCCCAAAAGCGACTACTGTCCCCACGGAGACACACCTCTCGCTCACAGGAGGTTCAACTGATTGTATAAAACTTACCAAAAAGGTGCTTAGTATAGAAAACCCAAAACTCAGAGCAAATATTTCGTCCAAATCACTCGGACTTCACCAGCGTTGTGAACTGACAGGTTGCGTAGCAGAAAAGTTATGAATCCCCAAGAGAGGATTACTCTATTGTAAATTGCTGGTAGGTCCACAGAACGTTCGAGTTCAAGGCGGTGGTTCGAGGCAAAAGGTGAATATTGGTCTGTGTGGGTATTTGCTCTGAGTTTTGGAATTTTCTATACTAAATGTATAAACGTTTACGAACACCTTTACTCCTTGCCTGTGCCACAGACAAAACTTAAGTCTGGCCAAGTCCGTCTGAGAAACAGCGCCGAAATCTTTGTCCTGGGCCCCCACCTGTGTACCAGGATTTGAGTACGCACTATGATTGACCTGTTAAAAGAGCCATTGTCGATTTGCCGATCAGGATGAAAGGAAATTCGAAAAGCATTTTCGGTAATTCGTCAAGTCCGTTGTAGATCCAGAACAAGGATCTTGGCGCTGCTTCGCATACGGTACTTTTGGAAACGAGGTTAATCAATGGCATATTTGCTTGGAAAAGAGGGTGCTTGGGCAATAGTGAAGTCAACAAATGGCGTTCACGGCTATCAGAAAACGAAACAGCTGAATTTCTGGCTAAAACTGAGTGGAAGAAATGAAAAAATAAGCGAAACACATTGCTCGATGTATGTTACCTACTTTACGGGGAGTATCTAAAACCGTGGCTTTCTAAGAATTTAAAAATATTTCGCATGAATAACAAAACAATTATTGAATTCAGCTTTCGTATGATGTGAAGAATTATGCTGATCTCGGAGGGTGTTAGGCACCGAGGCTGTTATCCATCCTTCTTGATCTGCATAATTCTCCGTATCATGCATACTCCGCCTCATTTAATAATTGTTTAAATATTCCCCACTTTCTCTACAGCTATATACCATAACCTACCATTGAATCTCCCTCAAGAAACTGTCGGGCTAAAGGATTCATCGGCCTTACTGTGTGTTCCAGTGATTTGACCAAATAGCTTTGACTGACCGCCATGTAGGAGGCGACCTCCATGTCGAGTAGCTTTTCTTGGGCTTTGACCTTCGCTGTTGTCCGGTAAGAGGATGTCGCTGGTCGGAATGCACTCGTTAAATCATCAACAGCAGTAACCTCATCCCAGCGCAACCGAGAACAAACTTCGCCGACACCGCGAACTTGGGTGGCGTTTCGCGAAGGCAAGCTTCGTGGATTTGAGGACGATAACGCCGACCTGAGAGATAAGTTGTTTGAATGCATAGCTCTTGAATTGACCTGCTGATTTCCTTTAGACAGGGAACCGTCACTGCGTAGAGTATTAGGTATAGCGATGACAGAGGAAGTTCCTTTTACTGGAGTAGGGTAGGCCAACTTAACTGGTGGACAGAAACTGGAGCCATTGTTGAGACTCGACTGACTTCCTTTAGGCAGGGAATCGCAACTGCGTAGCGTATTAGAAACAGCGCTGACGGTTGAAGTTCCTTTTACTGGAGTAGGGTAGGCTAGCCGAACAGGTGGACAGAAACTGGAGTCATTCTGCAGATAAGTTGAGGTGATATCACCTGAACAAAGGTGTTCTTCCCAAGCGGGCTGTTTGGAATTGAAGGTAGGTGGAGGTCGAGAACAAGCCTGAGGCTTCTTTACAACAGAATCACGATTATCTAGAGCTTTCGAGACATTCGAACAAAATACTTCGCCTTTGTCATCGTCAACGGACTTGGAATCTTCATGAATCTTACGATCAGAAATTTGAAGAAGTCCAAGGTCCTCCATTGCTTGGCGCTCAAGCTGCCTGATAACATCGTCTTCCTGTGACAAAAAAGGAAAGGAGAGAAACTACCGTTTCAAATTGGTGACCATGCCAGGACTTTCTGAATCTAACGGAACCTTATTACAACAGATTTGAACGAAATAAATAAGGGGAACGACCATAAAAGACAAAGAACTACTTTATAGGGAGTAATTAAACTTCATTTGAGAGAAATTAACTTTCTTTGGTCGAAATGCATTTTGCCTAGCCCAGGGCATAAAAACCGTTTGTTTGTAGTGGAAGTACTCTCAGCTGCTCTGACTACTTTACATCCACTCCAATCAAATAATTTGAAACAACTAATTGAAATGGGTCATCGAAGAACAAAAACGGCTCATCCAGCCTGTAACCCACAAGTGACTTACAACAAAGGAAACCGGCAAAGTATTAAACGCAATAGAACATAAGAAAACAAAAGGTGCGAAAAAAAAAGAAAATGTGCACAGGTTCTTACATCGAGGTACACCCACAAAAACCCAACCTGGAAGGGAACAAACCACTGTCTTTTTACTAGCATGGGGTCTTTTTCCGCAGGGGACGATGGAAAGAAGGAAAGGCCCCTTGCCATCGTCCCCTGCGGACTTCCTCTGTGCCTTTGTGGCGCTGGGGAATGAGTATAGGTGAGTAGTTGAACTCGAGACGTACGACAAACAACTCTTCTAGTCAAAGGGAGACTCAAGCCCAGGAAAACCTCTCTAAACCGGGATTCTACAGTATTACGATCAAACCAGCCGACGATACCCAAGCTAGCCGATATATTTGAAAGTCTTGAGGTTGACTCTCAATCCGCGGGAAATTTCAAACCTACTTATAGGTGTGTGTGGAGAGTGCGAGCGTTGTCAGCAAAGGTCTTCAAGATTAAGAAGTTATAAATTATAATGCACTGTGACTGAACGCCTTGCTATGGCGTTTTAACGAGAAAAAATGTTTTGGATGAAATCAATCCAACCAATGATAGCTTGAATAAGAAAATCTATACCCTGATATGCTACCCAGATACAACCCAGTGGTGCATACTTTTGTTTCATCAGTTACCTGGTGTTCCATGGAGATCGGTGTCCGCTGTGGTAGCCTGACCTCCGTTAGAGAAGCAGAAGCTTCAGCTTTAAGCGAAGGTTGATAGCTCGAGATTTGAAGCGTGGAAAGTTGCAGTTTCGAGCCACCGGTCTGGCTCAGAGGAGTACAAATCTCTGGTTGAAGTTGACGCGAGGAAACACAGGGAACTGGCCTAGATGCTGTAGACAGCGTCGCTACAGAGGAAGGAAAACTTAGCGTTCGCGTGTGGGAGTATTGTGAGTTCAGATCTATTGTGGAACTAGGCTGAGGACGCCAGGCTTGCGTGGCCATGGATGTATGGTGCGACTGCAAATCCACAGGCTGAGGGATTGAAGCTTGCCTTGTGAGCAGTGTTGAATTTGGGGTGGTTGAGTCCACCAAAGGCTTTCTCCCTAAAGCCACGGAGGAGTTTACGGCTATTATTGGTTCTTGCGGCAAGCTGTAGTTTTTATTGACGGATGTAACTCTCTGTGGCGTACACAGTTCTTCGTCCAACGCCTCCTGTTTTCTAGGGGTGCGCAACGGATCGAAGGAAGCCTGAGAACGAGTTGCTTGCGTTTGAGAAACTCGTTGTGGTGTTAGAATGTCTGCCCAGGTTGGCTGGTCTTTCGCAGAGGAGGGCTGGGCCCTAGAAACCAGTATCCGCGAGGGCGTTGAGAGTGGAAAGCTTTTAAACGGTTGGGAGTCGGGTACACGAGTTTTCGTTGACAACTGCGTGGCAGCTAAGCTGGCAGTAGGATCGAGTTCATCTAAGTAAAAATAAATACACTTACAGTTATCCTTAATAGACCTTATCATGGTTGTGGAAGTTATCTTGACAGGTAGGCAACCGCATGAAAAATTATCAAAAGTGTTTGTATGGGAATCTAGTGTCGATTAATTTTCGTAAAACGGCTGTTCTGAAAAAAACAAACAAACAAACAAACAAACAAACAATCGCAAACTTAAGCTTCACAGCAAAGGATTGTGGTTACAAATCTTGGGGGTACACCTGTGCCGAATTTCTCCGGTCGCTTACTTTAGATTTTCCATACATCTGTCTGTCTCTTCCCTGGAAATTGTAGTCTGCAGACCTTGAGATAAGGGGGTGAGGGTAGGGGGGAGGGGGGGGGGGGTTGGGTCTCCAAAAAACTTTTTTCGGCCCTTCGGGCATCAGTTTCGACTAAAAATAGGGGGTGGATCCACCACTGCTTTTAATAACGTTACTAAGTGTCCGTCCATCTAACTGAAGAGTGATGTCCGAGAGTCAAATAGAGGCAGTAAAAAAGGCAGGAACCACATCTAGGTGACCGTCAGGAAAGAGTTGACGGAAACACAATTTGTTGATCATGTAGCTAGACAAGTCACTTCACAATTTGTTCCACCAACGCACAAGTGGAGGTCTTTCTCTACATCAAGAAAAAATAGAAAGCGCTACAGCCTAAAGCAAAAGTTCGTTATTGCCTGTTTTGATGTTGTAAAACGTACAGTAAGCCATGCGTTGCCATAACACAAATAACCAGTTCCAGGCGTTTAGATGGTGAGGAAATTGAATGCAAAGCAAACAAAGCGAGAAAAGGAATAAAGGGAGACCGACAGCTTTTTCTTTCTTTGTGCCGTCGATTTTACTCATTGAGATGGTTCGTACCCTCAGCCCCTCATCGGTAGTGCATGGTCGAAGCTATAACTGCGGAACTCTGGTGGCGGAGTAAATGTCTGCCAAAACAAGTTTCTGTATTGAATTTAAGAAAAAGAAAACTGACAACTACCTTGTTCCTGCAGCTGGCCTTGTTTTCCAACAACTGTTGTTAATGGATTATATTTACCAGCGGCCTCAGTTGCTAGCCTTGTTCTTATCATGGATCCCCTAGGGCTTGGCCGGGTGCGTTTCGGCCCCGTGTAATAAATAGAGCTCCTTTTGATGGTGGGTTCCTGGTAGCATGCAGAGTAAAACATACACCTAATTAAGGCATCCTTTAACAAGATTTAAGCGCGTGCAGATCAACATATGGCGGCTTTTGTCGTAAGGCCGGAGCTCTCCAAAGGGGTAAATCTTCATTTTCTCTGCAACGAGTATGGTCATTTATCACTCGTTTTTTTTTCTTAAGCAGAAACTTTGTTTGTCTAAAAAACATCCAGTGTAGAAAAAGAAAAAAAATCGTAGGGAACGTGTTTAAAACATGCACTCCTAAATCTGTCTGATTTTGGAAAAAGGTACCATACAACTCAAGAGAGTCTGTTAAAAATGCATGTCTTTTCTGTGGTCTCCATATTGACTTAAACTCTAAATTACCCAAAAAAGCTTAATAGTGTGGCCAAGCTTTTTACAAGTATGGTAGAGATTGGCCAGCGAGCCATGCACCTTCCCCCGACCTATCTCCCCCCCTCCCCCACCCTCTTCCGAGCCCCTTGTCCTAACAGCTAATATGGGAGGAAAAAAACAAACCAAAAGCATGCAATGATTTCAGTGGCGGTATTAAAGTTAGAAAGCTACGCTTGCCAATGGTTGAGATTCTGAGAAAGGTACCTTTTTTCTAAAATCAGACAGAAATATAATCATGTCAGTGTTGCATACATAGCAGTTGCTGCTGCTGCTGCTCAAACGAGTATGGAGAGCCCCCATTTTTTTTCAAAATTTCTATAACATACAAAACAAATCGTTAAAGTTCGACAAAACCCCAGCAGGTTCTTTGTGTACACACCAGTGGACGACCTCCACTGAGACCTTATCCGTGATTTCAATAATTTCCTTGTGTTAAGCAGGTTAACAAATAATGGCAGCTTTTCATTTGTAAAGGAAGTTTTTATGCATTCGCTTTGCATAACTCTACCTTCCCCCTCCCTACCCCGATGTCTAGGGATGGATTTCACCGTATTTTCAAACATACCTCCCTAAATGCTTGACGACTTCTAAGGTATGGTGTAAGTCGTCCACCTGCAAGGGTAACTCGACCGGTATTTTGAAGTCGCGTAAGGTTATCATTAATTCCAGTGTTATTTAAAATGCTCTGCAATGAACTGGCGTCAGGCTTGAAGTCGAACGGATCTTTCTCACGGGCTGAAAACAAAAGTATAAAAACGGCGCTTTGAGAAAGTTAACACGGATGGACCAGAGAATAACAGCACTAAGCTAGGGTACGTTTACACTACAGCACATTTATCGGAATAGATGTTTTTTGATCCATTGATGTGTGTAAACGCCCGCAAATTCGAATATGTTAGAATAATTTATGAACTGGGAAAAATCTCTTCTGCTGTAAACGTAGTCTTAGATTCCGGACTTAAAATCTCCGGAGACACAGCTAAACCGGCAGACAAATCCAGTACCAAAATGTTACAGATTCATGAAAATCTCCTCCAGTGTAAGCGTTGCGTGTGATTAACCTTCACTCTTTGTTTTGCGGATCTAAAGGTACGGTAGAACGGGCAACGAAAAACGTGCACCTTGTTTTGCGACATTGCTGCAAATCGAGTTGAATAGCGATTTTGCGCGTTTTACAGCCCACGAATCAAAGCTGTCCTGCAACAAATCCCGCTGAGAAAAGGTGTTGCAGAGAGTAGAAAGAAGTTCTACCTTTTGGAACAAGAGACGTAAATTATGTGTATGACATGACTCTCACGTAATTTAACTAATCAGAAGTCAGTATTCGCGCAACTTACAACAACCTCATTTGTTGCAAGACAATTTTGAACGTGGGTGGTGAAACGCACAAAATTGCTTTTCAAATTGTTTTGCAGCAATGTTGCAGAACAAGTTGCACGTCGTTGTTACCCGTTCGGTTTTACCACAGCTTAAGAGACTATTCAATGGCCATGAGAGGCGAGCGTTAAAAGATAAAGGACCTGATGAACAATCCAATAAAAACGGTAATGAATTCATGATAACCGTCACGAATATAGAGACATTTCATGCCCACTTAACATTCTAGTTGGAGTAGTTGATGTAGTTAGAGAAGCTGATGTAGTTGAGTAGTTGATATAGTTAGAGTAGTTGATGTAGTTAGAGTAGTTGATGTAGTTAGAGTAGTCGATGTAGATAGTGTAGTTGATGTAGTTAGTGTAATTGCTGTAGTTTGGCGTAGTTTGTGTAGTCGAATAAACTCTGTTTACCTTGATCTGCCCAGGCTACCTTTTTCTTGATACATGAACCAGGCTGGGAAATAGCAGAAGTGATGTCAACATTGGAAGGCTGTAGGGGTGTTAGAGGAGGCCGAGCCTTAGTTGACGTGTCACAGGTCCTGGGAGCGATACCTGATGCCGTCACATCACGCTGAATCGTGGGTCTGGTGTAGTAAATTGACGTTCGAATCCCAGCTGTTTGGCCAGATATGCCTGACTCACTGTATGGAAAAAAAGAAAAGAAAAACATATGTGTACCTGCGTGTGTCACCGAATGTTTCCAGCGCAGGAAAATAAACCGACAGTCACGGGGATGTCAGCGGTAGAAGCGTTTGTAATTAAAATGTGGCTTTACGCCAAATTAATGCCCAAAAAAGCGCAGTTTTGAAAAATCGCCTCGCCTGTACACTGAAACGTATTTCCAAAAAGGCCCCCTTTCGATTGTATTTTAGGTTAAAAGGTACTATAACAGAGATTTAGATATATTGGGGAAGGAAGAAGCGCCTCTTTACAAGAGCAGACAATCAAGTAAAGTTTGGGAGCAAGTTGTATGAAGTTGTGGGGTGGGATGGGGAAGATAATGCTCTTTTCTCTCTTCAACCTTCCTCAGGGCTAAGAACTTGCTTGCAATGCGCATGCGCCACCTAGACTGTTCTCACTGGAATAATGGTTATCATTGAATGAATGACTCGCCATTCACTCTAATCCCCCATGATATTAACCTGCGATCACAGAAGGACCGCCTGATCGCGAGTTGCCAAAATACATACCCACAAACTCGGTTTGCTCCTAGCAAATTTTGCATAACTATTTTTTATAAATGTTCCAGGGAGGACTTCATCTTCCCAGAGAAGTTGAAAACAATAGTTTATGCAAAGTTAAGGCAGGGAGGAAGACAGAAAGTATTAAAGGGAGAAGGTTGGATCAGGGGGCTACGTATGTATGTATGAAAGAATGCGGGGCAACCCACAAATAGTGTACAGGATTTCTGGCTACATTCCTTATAGGCCGCTACACCAACAGCCCCCATTATCCAACAGCTGCTAGTGATTCAAGTACCTCAGCTTCACTAGATAGTCACTTATTTCAGGCTATCTAAACTACACCGAATAGCTTTTCGTGTAATGTAGACACAAAAAGCTATCTGGTACATGATATGAACTGCGAGGACCCAGGACTGGAGCAAGTCATTCACACACATCGCACATCGCGCAGAGGGAAAGACTGAGAGGATTTGGTGCGCTAAATCTCAGTCCTCACTCTTGGGCATCTACTTTCGTGCCAGTGAGTTTCCATTCACGCATCTACTTAATATTCACCTCCGCTACGCTCCGAATACCTGTTCACACTGCACTAAAAAGTGACACAGAACCTATCCGATATGTGACGCTTCACTTTCGAGATAGGCGCGGCGCTGTTTCGCTCCGTCCCAGAAATTGCACCGAAATCACCGTCCTTATGAGCAAACAGAATCCCTATCCGGGATGGTTTTCGTGCCGGCGCAAAAACTATGCGGTATGGTGTAAAAATTAGCGTTAGTCAAAAAGATATTACCTTGAAGGTAAAGCAGCAATTGTTGCTCTTCCATTAATTTTAAGATCTTCATCCTTAAAAAGAAAATATAGTTTGCATAGTTGCATAGTTGCATAGTGGTAAATGTAGTCCGTGTACAGACGCCCCCTCCCCCTCTCCTCAAAAATAATCTCTGTCCGCGATTTTTTTCTGAGGAGGAGGGGGGGCGGGGGGGGAGGGGACGTCCGTACACAGGCTATGATATAAAAAAAAGTGGTTAGAAACCTCGATCAGAACACTGACCCGCATGCGCAATATGCATATCGTAACATTTCAAGAAGGCGTGCTTAATATGAGATGGAAAACACGCCTTGCTGACATTTATGATCTCATATCCCTCAAACGCGTGTGGAAAACCAGTCATTTTTAGGTCCGTTATGTTTGTTACCCCATCTCACACCACGTAATTTTACTCTTTAGAGGACTGTTATTTTGTACCATTTAAACTATTAGGCATCCTACTTATGAACAGTTGGGACACGTAGATATATTTTTTAGCAACTACTATAATTTGCAGTCTGTCTACTTTGAATTTACCTGCGCATCAGTGCGTAATTAGGGCCTGTTCACTCTATGCCAGATAAATTTGAAAACGCAACGATCGTTTAAGGCTAGGCCAACTGTCCCGACACAAAAAACTTCTCGAGAACACTCTTCAAAATAGTTAAAGACGGATTTTAAGGGAAAAGGTGGACTGCAAACCGTCTACTCCTCAGACGGCCACTTTCTTCTGTCCCACGGTGGCCGTTGTGGAGAGGTTCAAATTGAACGTCTCAAAACAGAACTTTAACCATGGTGCACGATTTGTCTACACCAGTCCTGTACCTTAATTCCTGTGTTGTTCAATATTCCTTTTAACGCTGTGCTGTCAATCTCGAAGTCATCCTCACTACCAGAAACAGCATCACCTTCATCTTCGCTGATGTAAGCGTACGGCCTTTTGAAATTGTGACCTTGCTGGTCCCCTTTAGTGAGGTTAAAAGCTTCAACCTGGATAAGAACGAATGTAAAAAAAGTTAAATGATGTGAAACATAGACCAGTGGCAGAGCGACAAATTAGGCACTGGGAGTCGAGTTTAGTCCTTTCCGCGCGCTTTCCCGTCGTCAAATGACGTTTCCGTTCTGTTGCTAAATCCGGCAACGCAATGAAGGGCCAAGCGACCGGCAAAACCTGTTCGCTATAACGAGGTTCTTTTCCATATATTTCACTATTACTGGGGTAAGGAAATCGTTGGTTACACCAAAGACTTCGTTGTATATAGCTCCGTTATATCGAGTTTCCACCGTTTTAGCTCCCGAAGTTTGGGCATGCGCAGAGGTCAAAATTTCGAGATACGCTCTCTCTTTGTACCGATTTTCCCTTTTGCTGCTCATTGGCCAGGTTCATACTAGAGACGGAAAATCCGTCTTGGTATTAATTCGTGCAAAAAAATTAGCTAAGAAAGATTTTTGGTTTGGAGGAAGGGGAAAAATAAGTACCAGTCGCCTCAAGTCAATACTGAGCAGAAATCCCACTTCGTTTCCGTCATTAAGTATCAGGCCCCGGCCACAAGCATCCGGATACTTTTGAATCCGCAACTTCTTCTTTCTGGGTTCGTACCCTTTTTTGAACAAAAAATTCAAGAACTTTTCAAGGACTTTCAAGGACACATTCCCCATTTTTCAAGGACGCCATTCAGTGCAAAAAAGGAGCCTTGAGTCTATGTCTTTTTTAGTTCTTCCACAAAATGAGTAATTTTATCCCGAAGGTCTTTCTGTGTTTACTCCTTTTCTTTGGAGTTCTACTTAAACTATTAAGTTATCGTTGAAATTCAAGGACTTTCCAGCACCGACTGCAATTATCAAGGACTTTCAAGGCCTTGAATTTTTATTTTAAAATTTAACGACTTTTAAGGACTTTTAAGGACTTTCAAGGTGCGTGCGAACCCTGTTCTTTGCCCATTCAAACTACGTCCACAAGTAATGATGACCCGCTGTAGAGTTAGGATTCGCCTTATTAGTAGACTACCAGCAGTTTCTCTTTTTTCTTGGTCGGTCGAGCAAAAACGTGTGAGACACGCAAATGACACGGCGCGTGACTGAAGGCGTGTCCCGCTCACCATCTGAAGAAAAAGAGAGACTGTTCGCAGTCTACCTTATTTGAAGGACGGAATTCGGGATTTTAAAGCAAACTTGGGGCGAGATTCGGATCATCGGCCATCCGGATTACGGGATTGTGGGCTGTTCACAGTCCCCTGTTTTTCTGTAATCTGGCCCTCTCGGTAGATACAAGGTGTAAGAAACCAAGATGGCCGCCCGTAATGGTACTCGCTCGATCCTGACGATCTTATGAAAACAAAGGGGACTGAACAGTTTAAAGGAATTGAGCGAAAATTTAGGTCAGGATTACGGGATTAAAGGACCCTCGGGGCCCTCTATAATGACTCACAGTTGTGTTTTTCTTCTTGGACACTGCCTTTCCCTACAAAACGAAAGGTAGAACTGAAGTCAACATTGGTCATATTAGAGCGGTTTTCACTTGACTGTCGTAAAACCAAAACCAAAGTTAATACACTAGCCAACCAAAGGGCGTAGTAAAACCAAAACCAAAACCAAAACCAATTACTTTCGACAGTCAAGTGAAAACCGCTCTAAAAGAGTTGTACATGTACAAAAACAGTGCACCATAAAAATAATGCTTTTACAGGAACATTACAGGTAAGGTAATAATAATAATAATAATAATAATAATAATAATAATGAGCAAACATCTTTATTAACAAATGACCAATTTATATTGCATTATCAGACTAAAATTTTGATGAAATAAAAATATTAAAAGATCCCTTAAACACAAATTTACAAACTCACGCCATTATCGACTTTCTAAAATAAGCGGACACACATTTGGCTAGCTTTTAAGCGGCAGTCATTATATGACTAATTTACATTCCACTATAATAGACTAAATTTTTGATGAAATAAAAATATTAAAAAGATCCTAAAATACTAATTTACAAGCTCACGCCATTATTACTTTCTAAATAATAACAATAATAATAATAATAATTAATAATAACACATGACAAAGACAAATTATTTATGTAACAACAGTCCAAATTCAACTGGTTTTTTAGCCTGTTCCAGGGGGTTCAGATAGTGAAGACTAGTAGGCAGCGTTTTCTCGTAACCTTATATAGCTGTCGAAAATTTTTTGCAAGTGTGAGAGTTTTAGTTTTTGCTGCAAAAAGTGAGCAAAACGAGCCCCATTCTTCAAACGGCTTTACAGCTCCACTGCCAAAACTTTGCTCATGCTAAATAACAATCCCACCGACTACGCAGGCGCGGTACATTTTCTGCCAGGCCCTATCACTACTTTTTCCCTGCTCACTTCACTTTGCACCATCCCCACTATTTAAAGACCTGCAAAAGATAATTAACTGCTTTTAAGTAGCCTGTTCACAAACCCCTTATTTTCTCTTCAGAGTCCGTCGAGCGCAGGTGATAAAATATAAACTGCAGGGGATTCTTTGACTGCCAGCTCAAGGGGCAGTGGTGGGGGGAAGAAGAAAATAGATGTGAGCTCGCCGATGTTTTCGAAAAGAACGAAAAGAAAAATAAAACAACGTCTGTGTACAGGCTAGTTTTTAAGAGTGGTTGTTAACTGTTACACTACTAAATACAACTGCATTTTTTTTCCTTATAATAATTCCTCATTGTTTTGGTGCTTTCAGCCCCTAAAGGTTGTTTATAAGCGTTTATTAAAATAAATACATGAGGTAAACATATAAGTTACATGTATAATATTTATATTCACCTTGGACAACTGACTTTCCCATTTTTTGTGAATCTTTGAAAAGTTTGGAGCTTTTTTAACCTTGCTTGACCTTTTGCCAACAGTGCAGCCTTCATTCTGCAGAATCAAACAAACACAGTCATACCGGTAATTAGCTTTCAGTACTCGTAGCAACTTTTGCTTTCACTTCCACCCTTCAATAGGAAAGCCTGTATCTGCTCGCATAACAGTTGAACATGAGGCCTACAAGCACTCAGCCTCCTTTCGTCTTCTTGCACAAGGAGGCTCTGCCTGAACCGTGTTAACCCTTTGAAGTCACTGCAGCCAAAACTTCTGGCTTTTTCAAGTACGGGCACCTGTTTATTGATAAACCAATGTTCATAACAAGGCCCACTATACCAAGTGCATAGCTATTACTAGGCCTGGATTCGAAACTACAATAAATTGTCCTAGCAACCTGCAGCGCATGCTCAACAAAAATCTTACTAGATTTGAGTCTTTTTCGGGTATGTCAAAATTGAGCAAGAGAAAGAAAGGTTCTGCTGTTTTGCTGGCTACAGGGTGTTGAACATGTAGGTTGAAATGAAGTTCAGGTTAAAATCAGGCTTCAAACCTAGGTTTTAAGTTAACATTCTTTCAATTGGTAGAAAGTCAAGGACTTTAGAGGACCAGGTCCCGGTTGTTCAAAAGATGGATAGTGCTATCCACCAGATAAATCACTGTCCAGTGGATACGTTATCAACCTTTGGAACAACTGGAGACAGGGCTCCAAAAAACTGCCAGTCAATGGAAAATGTCTGGCCAAGATGACAATTTGTCCAGATAAACTTTTAGTTTGCCGGTCATTTTGACTGGGTTTGAATGAACTTATTTTAAGCCCTAATTTTCAAGTTTGCCTTTTGTGAAAGAGGAATATTATAAATTTTTTGGTTGCTAAGCTATTAAGGTTTAAGCTCCTGGTTTAAATCATTATTGTATTATATATGTTTATTATTTTGACATGACCAATCAAAAAAGAGACCTGACCAAGCTGAAATTTCTTTGGTAATTCAGTCAAAAAATTACTCTGAACCCTAAAGAACCAACACCAGAAATTAGACTTCTGGGTTTTCAAGATGTTTATTAGGGGCAGCAGGTGACTATTTTCAGTAAATTATCTGTTCTGAAAAGCAAATATTGCCTAGAATTTTCTATTAGTTGAGGACAGCTTAAAATTTTTGTGTGACCGTTCCATTTATGTACAATTTTTCGAGCTTATCTAATTCTCATTTTCACCACCCTGCGAGCAGAGGTTTCTCTCTTGGATGGCTTTACGAAGTTGTTTGCGTGGCTTGCCTGTTGCATAGGTTTGTTTATGCTCAGACAAGCCATGCGAATGACGTCGCAAAAGCTAAAAGCCATGCAAGAGAGAAACCTCTGCTTGCAGGGTAAATTTTTACATTTCACTTCCCAAGTTATATAAGGCTATTTTTCATACAACAAAGGAAATCTAAAATTTTCGAATTAAAAAAGGTGATGGAGAGAGGAATCAGAAAATGCCAAACTTTCGTGACACGTCAAATTGCATCTAAAAATTTTCGGCAAAAATAATACTTAAGCCCAGGCAGGTAATTTAGAAAAGACTTAAGTTGACCTAGGATTAGTGCCCCATAGAAAGCATTTCTAGATATCTAAAAGTACTCTGGATAGCCTTGGCTAAAATGTGTTTTCAATGTATTTGGGAGGAAACTGTCATTATGCACCCCTGGTTTATGAAACAGGGCTGTGGAACAGGATTACTGTAAATGGTTAAGAAACACTTAAAATAATGTAGTAAAGTTATGTTTGTTATAAAGGTACACTGTACAAAAATGTCACACTCACTGGATTGGAATTTTCCTTTCCCTTGGCAGCACCTTTCTTCACTGGAACTGGAATAGAACTGAATTCAGAAGGTATGTGTTACAAAAATGCAGGCCAAGGATTAACACCTTCAATTATTTCCAGGAAAAGGGACACTTTTTCTGGGTGCCGAAACCCAGGTTTATAACCTCCACTCAGTGGACACCTTGGCACCCAAAAAGTGACTGACCACTCTATAATATATCACAATTATGCAACACTGGAAGCTTTCACAAACTGAACTATCTCACTTAAATTGATGAGATGCATTTATGTGAATTCAACATGTACAAATGCACATGTACCGTCTACTCCCGATAACTCATACTTCAAGGGAAATAGCAAAAAGTTCAAGTTATCGGAAGTTCGTGTTATTGAGAGCTTGTCAAGCAATTGGCCAGAAGTAAGTGAAAAAACAGTTTTTACGGTACAGAACTGTACAGTAAAAATTTTAATTACATGTAACTGTAGAAATGTTGTGAAAATTGAAAGTTACTTCTGTGATTATAAATCAGAATGTAACATAACAAAACATAGCCTAAATAGAACAAATGAATTTTACTAGTTTTGAGAAGTACAGCTGTTTCATGTTAGATTTGTGACAAACAACATCAGCCTCCACTGGTAAATGTTTCAATGTATACAACAAGTTAATGAGAAATTCAAAATTCAAGTTTTTGGACGCTACTTTACAAAAAACTTTTTAAAAAAACTTTAGTATAAGGGCAAGATAAACAATTTTACCAAAACAGTCCTATTCAGGACTACGTTCACCCGGACGATCAAACTCAACCTACTTTTGAAATATTGACTCCTGGGTTCAAACCTTTCACAATAACAGGGTATCACTTGGATATGAACTTCCGACTGCCGAGAACAAAATTAATCCAGCTAGTGGTCAACGTGGGAAATGAACTCGGGGCCTCTGATTTACAAGTCCAGCACTCTCACTGCTCCGCCACACTGCCTTCACCAAACACAAAAAAGCCAGGGGAAAACTCTGGCCCCCATTGCCAGCCAAAGAAAGAGTCAAAACAAACCTTAATTTAAAGTTGTTTTAGTGCCCAATAAACTACAGATTCAAACAAACACTCGGGTCCACAAGCCACTGAAATCAACATAGAGTCAGTGTCCAATAGCTGAAAAAATCAGTTGTACTGTAACATGGAATTTTTTTAAAATTTAGTGGTATCATGTAATAAATATAAAAAATGAACTTATACTCAATACCTTTTTCCATTGTTATGGTGTTGTGTCAACTTGGTTTTAACTGCCAACAAAAGAAACAAAAATCTTCTAATAAACAATCACACAAGTTAACCTACGTTGGTGCACATGCAGCTACATACCTGACATAAAATGTTATTTTGAAAGCATCTCTTTAAGCACATCAAATTATTAATGCTCTGTAAAGTTGAGCCTATCCAAAATGCCAGCTCTTTTAAAAGAAATCCAGGGCAAAAATTCTTAAAATACATGTACCAAGAAGCTCAAGCCCATGTACAAATAGAAAAAAGCCATCAACACAAATCAATGAGCTATCATTACCGACAGCAAAAGAAAAGAACTCGCAGATGTATTAAAATCCAGAAGCAAGTAGCAGAAACAAAAAAATCGGGCTGTAGCAAGAAGAAACTTCTCTCCCCTCCACCCCTTCATAAAATAAAACAAACTTAGAAGAGAGAGAGAGAAAAAAAATTTGATGTAAAGAATGATGTAGCCATATATAATTTTTTCCGAGGAACAAACAAGGAACTCTTTACCATTAAGAAAGGCAGCTGCCTTTGTTAAGTAATTATGTTACCATAATGGATATATAGACCTAGTCGGCAATAAACTATTATTGTAAGATCTGATTACTGTACTTAAACTGCTTTTCATACATACCTAGTGCAGACTTGTTGGTGGATATTTTTCCCTTCAAAGAAACTCTAGTGAAAAAAAGGTAAAATATACAGTATATAAAGAGACTTTCAAAAGACTAATTAAATAACTGATTGAAGACTTGTGGAAATTAAAGTTACAATGTACCCGACAAAACACATTTTTTACCACTTATTATTATACACTGTTAGTAGTAAAAACAACAAGAAGCAACAAACTGAGTACATTAATTACAACTACAGCCAGGCTTTTGTATATTCTAGCCTCTTAAAATCGCCCTCGATCGCTTGCTCCTTCTCTTTAGATTTATTTCAGTCAGTAGATGTCAGACTCTCTAGACTCCCTCGAGATAGTCGATCGTCTGAGAACAAATTAAACTCATGGACTCCTTTTCTCTGTTGATTACAAGGCTATAACAAATTCATCTTCCGATTTAACACTACATCAGCTGACTACAACTCGCAAAAATATGTACGCAGTGCTTGACCACGAATCGTCGTCGAAATATAAAATAAGCTTATTTAGAAGACCAAACAGTTTTGGATCGTGCGTCACCTACCTATCTTGTGAGGTTTTCTGCACTGAGTTTGATTTTAGCCTAGCTTCCCCAGCCGTTGGCATGGTTCTCGCTTCACATGATTTTCTTCATAAACAAGAAACAGAAGAATTAACCACAAGTAGATGAAGAAACCAAAGGAAGAACCGTCTTTTCACCCCTGGTACACGTCTAAAACGGCTTGTCCAGCATGTCTACTTTCGAAGCGATCCCTGTGTTTTCGGTCAGCGTATTCGCGATCGTTTATTCTTAGCCAATCAAAACCTTCGAAAAATTCAAAATCAAAATGTCCCGGATTAAAAAGCGTCTGTTCCAAGTAGCGCCTGGCAAAAAGATGTCTCTCACCAGGTTCCTTGCTACTTTCCGACTTTTTTGATGTTTTGCAGAGCAAAAGGCAGACTTGCCAAGACTTTGTTGTGAGTCTCACGATTTCACGACCGACCTACCTCACGCTCTCGTGAGTTGGCAACTGATTTCTCACGTTTTCTGGAAAACTAAGACTCCAAAAAAAAATTTGAAGTTCGTTTCCAAGTTAGACTTTAGTTAAATATATATAATAGATAGCCACTAGCCACTCTGCTTAATCTAAAGAAAACAGCGGCTCGGTCGCGTTTGAATACATTCTTTTAGTCTACCGCGACTTGCCGCTCCCACCAAATGTGCAGACTTACTGTTTCTCTTTTTCAAGATGAAAACATTGAAATTAAAAAACCTAAGTCATACAATTGATTGTGAGTGTTTTCTGTTGCAGCTTTAAAGTGATATACATGTATGTGACTTTAAATACCCATAATCCCCACTGGAAGTCCTTCCACTTGGAAATGTGGGACATCTCACGAATTTTTGCGTTTGCCTAAAACCCGGAATCCGGAAAAAACCACACCAAATGACAATGACGGAAGTGTAGTGACAGTAGCTGGTTTCATTATACGGGGCAAACTGACCTGAAACTTGATTCACTTACCGTAAATCCTCTATTAAACCCCCATCTCAAATAAGCCCTCTCCGTTCTAATAAGCCCCCCTCTCTATTAAGCCCCCTCCCAACTAGCCTGAATTTCATCCAATTACTTCGAGTCGTTATTAAGAGGAGAAAACGACTCGAAGCAATCGGATGAATTTCAGGCTACCTCCCAACCCCTAATAGGCCATTTCCGAGTTCCCCCGGGCCTCTGTTCCAAAACGAGGTTAGGTGCTCAACCTTTGATATGGAAATCATTTTTCATTCTCATGCAAATAAAACTCATTTTCACAAGAAAGGTTGTGCACCTAGCCTCATTTTGAAAGCGAGGGTTTTTGGAACTCGGAAGTGGCCTATCATTCTTCACTAATAAATGATAGACTGTATTCGTGTAGACTGATCCAGGATGGTTTATTTACCAACTGGAAGTTCCGATTTGATTCTGATCCTCGGCTGCATGACCTAAAACTTCTTGTACTTGAGCTTTTCCACTTTGTATTATAGTTCGTTCTGGAGAACTGATACCATCGTCACTTCTAAATTAAATAAGCCCCCCCCACCTCTCAAATAAGACCCTCCTCAAATGGGCTTGAAATAAATTAAACACCCCCCCCCCCCCCCCCCTGGAGGATTTATGGTAGGTGGGTAAATTGATTAAAGTGGAATTTTTCCAGAAAAGTTCAATAATTTAATCTGGGAGAAAGTGAAAAAGAAAAAAATTTTTACAAGACCGTTGAAAAAAAAAAATTCAAACGTCACCCACTTCAGCCATTTAGAGTATTACCTTGCTATAGGAAACCATTATTAAACTTGTATACATTTTTATTTTACCCCTCAGGTTTTTTATCTTTAAAGTGAATAAAAAATGAAAGCCTGTCTGTGCTGATAAGCAGTTATCAAGCATTTTAGTGACTTTTTTTGGGCAGACCGAGCATTTAAGTAGAAAAAATGGTGCATTAGGGTGGGACATTTTAGTGGAGAAACAAAAGCATAATGTTAAAAAAACCTAGATGTTCAGGATTTTCTGTCCACACAATAAGCAAGACACAATGTTAGTGGCAGCAATTAGTGCCTGATAGCATAAAAATTACTATAAATCCAGACATGAAAGAACACTGGGATCATGTTTATGAATAAAATGACACCATATTGGACCAGGAACACAAAAAAGCACCATGAAAGGGCATCAACTTCTCCTCAACTAATTTTGAATTTGAAAAAAAAAGAATGTGTGAGCAGTCAACTAAAAGTCTGGAGTGAGGGCGTGTGAGGCCTGCACACTCTCAAACACTGGTGCTTCACGCCTTGAAAATTAAATCAATTTTAAGAAAAACCGACAGTCTTTGCAGTCTAACTTAACCTGAGAAACAGTATCCATTGCAATTAGTGCCAAATAGTAACAAGTACACCAGAAAACAAAGCAATAACTTGGCATTTCTGAGTTCCAAAAACTCTCACTTTCAAAAAGAGGCTAAATGCAAAACCTTTTTTGAAGAAAATACAAGTTTTTTGCATGAGAGTAAAAAATTATTTTCTTATCAATGGTTTCACACTTAGCCTCGCTTTGAAACAGAGGCTTAAGGCAACTCGGCAATGGCCTACCAGAGTTTAATACTATGTATCAGTCTATAATAAAGTATCTATTTTATGGGTCAAATAAAAACACTGACTAAGATGAAGCACCTAAATAAAAGTATCAATTGAGGTTCTGGGTAACTGACCACTTACCCCTCCCTTAAGTAACAATTTCGTTAAGTAAGAAGTAAGTGTAAATGTTGACTTAAGGGAGGGGTAAGTGGTCAGCCTCAATTATTGATCCAAATAATATCCCCGTGGACAAGATGGTAAGGCCATAATTATAATAATAATTGTGATCGCAGGGTTACACCGAAAAACCTTCCACGCTGATATAGGAAAAACTCTGTTCTGTTTACTAAAAGGAAAAACGTAGAGAGAAAGAAAGAAAGAAAAATACAAAAATACCAGTGTAATTCCCCTCTCTACAAACTAGGATTAGGCTGCAATGGAATTGCAGGTATGCCTTACATTCAGTGATATGGACAAACTGAGGAAATTTAAAAAACTCCATTTTTTTGCTGAAGGAAAATGTTTGCCATTTATTGAAAGTCAAAATGCACCAGTGCTAAATTTAATTTTTTAATGAAAAACATTTTATTTCTTTATTTATTTAATGAAAAGTAAAGAATAATGCTAAGGAAAAGAACAATACCACAGTCTTATTACATGAGCTAACACTGTTCAGTGACTGTTATCTCGGCATAATGAAAAAAAGGGCTATTTCTTAAAATGCCAAGTTCATGTTGTGCTCATAACACACCACCATTTAATTGATCATTACTGACAGGTTCATCTCTTGTGTTGGAATTGCGATCACTAACACTTGTATCAGAAACTATTCTTGGTTCCTCTTTCTTTGCAGTACATTTGGCCTGATGTTCTTTACGTGACCGTGCTGTAGCAAATCTTTGTTCACAAAATTCGCACCCATAAGGGGCCATTCTGAAAGAGACTCCCTCCACTAAGTTCAAACCATCAGGCAGTTGTGTTGATTGTGGTTTAGATGTCTTGCTGACACCATTGAATGTTTGATGCTTTCTTTTGCATTTCTTAGCATGAGTTCCATGACACTTGTAACATGCATTACACTCTGCCTTCCGTTTTTTGTTTCGTGCCATAACTGTGTGTCAGAGCCTTGTATTCAGAGTGGGTTAAAGGCCAGTAGGATTTTACTCTTGTACTGTCAAAAAGCAAAAGTGTACAATAGCAAATATTAGAAACCATTTGAGGATTAATTAAAGAGATAAACATCTCAACTGAGACTAGATATTCTTGATATTAAAAATGATTCTAGATTAATAGTCATTGTCTTGTTACATAAAAGCTCCACATTAGGACACACTGGGCTTTAGACTGGAGTTTCTCGTTCAATTAATCAATCAATACTTTATTTGATAATGCAGCCGGTTAGTCTACAATGACAGTGAAAGAGCACTCAAGGTGGCCTTTAATCATCACTTCTACAATAAATTGTTAGTTTCAGTTTGGGCTCTACTTTATCCACCCTCTCCAACATCTTGCCTTTCTATAGCCTGCGAGAGCATCCGGTTTTTTGGGCTCAAGTTTCTAGTTTCACTTACCGAGAAAACTGTCTGCGAAGCCAAACCAAGAAAATATTTCCTTGATGTCAAAGCTTTTATCTTGTTGTTGGCCAATAAAATTCACTGATAGAATATGACACTCATGTTCATGTGTGATGCAGAGAGAGACGTGGGAACCAGCAATAAGTTTAGAACTGGCATTTGTTTGAAATGAGCGTTGGTGAAACATTGAAAAAGATTTCCATGTCTGAGGTTTTTTTCCTATGCAAAGAAAAAGTTTCCAGTGACGAGAAGATAAAAGTGGTTGGAAAACATTCTCTGGAAATTCACAAATTGATGTGCGTTCAACTGAAGTCGATCTATCTGCTTAGTATGTTAAAAGTGATGCTGCCGCCATTTGCCGCTCCAAATGTTATAATCGTTCGCTTTGGACAAAGTAACAGAAGGAAATCAAACAAGATTTTACAAATGATGGCCCATTCCGTGTAAAACCACTCGCTAAAGAGCCAGGACAAATGCCAGAGGCTAAAAAGAGTCTGAGTTTTGGAGGTGTGAATGTAAACAGTGTAAATAATCGATCACATTAAATGTCACGTTTGCTTCGAGCTTTGATCTTTTGTAAGCCCTTCTCCACCTCCCATCATCACTTTTGGTGCTGTTAGCCCTTGTCCCAGAAGCTTTGCATTCACCTCAACGTCTTCTCACTCCAAATGGTTTGCTTCAAAATGCTTCTGGAGCAGTAGCCTCAGGCTTCACTGATCACCTCTCTGCTGAAGTCGAAACAAGTCGAGTTACAGAAAGCAGAACCACCCATTACAGAAATTATAATGAAGGCTAAAGTACATCTCACTGTAGGATATCCAAGCAAAACTTTTCACAAGGAATTGAAAGTTGGCAAAGCAATAACATTATCATTAATGCATCCCCACAGAGAATTGTAAGAGCTGTGCTAAAAATATCACACTTCGAAAGATTGCTGTCGAGAAAGTGCTTCAGCTGATGAACACACAGTTAAATGACATTTGTTCCAGAAAACAGCCATCTATTCTCAGAGATAACACAAAGGATGAAATCGTGAGCTCTGCCTTCGAGGTTTTTCTCGGAGGGTGAAACTAGAAACTTGAACTGAAAAAACAAGTGGTCTCCCAGGCTAGCCTGTGTACTCGTGTTTGAAATTGAAGCCAACAAATAACTTTAATATTTGAACCGGTCAGTGTAAAATGCAGACTGCGGACTAATGTTTTCACCATTCAAATGAGAAGGTGAGAACAATAGTCCCATTGTTTTCTAACCCTAAAAAAAATAGTTCGCATTCAGTCCACAGCCTGCATTTTACACTGCCCCTATTTGAACTAAACACCTTATTCCAAATCAGATGAAACTGGCTTTATGTTCGTGTGATTCTGTTCAATTGGCAAGATTTTTGGGTGAGTTCGATTATGTTCGATTACCGGACCCAATCGAAGTCAATAGAACGATTGAGTTCGATTGACTACGCTGGAATTTTCGGTGTATTTTAGAGTTTACTAGGACGACTGATAAGATAAAAAAACGTAAAAGTTAAAATTCACCGGGTAGCAACCTTCAAAATCAGTAAAAAGCCCATGAAATGGCAGGGTTTTCCTCTACCAGAAAACAATCAAATACGGTGCCAAGTGCAACTTTCTGGTCAAAACAAAATAAATGGTTTTAAATAGGAAAATTAAAGTGTTGCTAGTTTCAAGTAACTAGTTTGAATCGGTTTTTAGAATTCCCGTACACTTACCTTTACTCAGAGGGAACCCTCACACGCGACTAAAATTGCAGCTTCTATAAAGCCTATCTTGACCCTACAGATGATGCCGCCATTATTTGCCTCGTTTTGAAACGTCATCATGACACGACATCACGTGCGACCTTCTTGCGTGACAGTGTTCTGTTTTATTTTTTGAGGGAGTGATGATGTCTCAAACATTAAATCGCGAAATAATGGTTGGGGTTGACATATAAAATGTGTGAGTTTGTTGATCCGATCGAATTAATGTGGGGAGATAAAAACACCGTTATATGCTTGGATGACTCCATCCTTGGATCGTGAACCGAGTGCACGCATGCGAGCGCGTCGATTTGGCTATTTTGAAAAGGGAAGAAATTAGGGTAGAAGAGGCATTTACGTAAACCAGTTAGTCCGCTAATGAGCTCTGAGACATCTTTGGTGGTGGACTATTCAGCATTTGTCTACGAATTATTCCTTTTCTATTTCAAATCTAATTTTCTCCAATTTTCCATAATTTTAAACTTCCCCCCAAGTTAATTTTTTGTTAAAAATACTCAAAAATCGTCAAAAAATTCTCACGCATTTATTTAACCAATAAACGACCTTTGATTGAATGAAATAGTGGCTAGTGATTTGAAGGAAAAGGGCAGAAATAAATTAAAACTTAGGCTTTGGCCCAAAATCCTCATCAATTTTTCTTGCTCGTTTTCACTCACGTGGTCAGCAGCTATGCAAATTTCTCGGAAGAAAGGAGAGTTTTTACATGGGAAAAGAATTCAATCCGCACAGGATTTTTTCTGTTCCCCAAAATGGCCCCCGTATCATTGTTTTGTTCACCAATATGGCCACCGAAACGTCATGTAAATGTCAACGCGTGATAACGCCGGTAAAAACGTCATATTTTTTGACGATCATTCGGGTCATCATCCTCGATGTAAAAACCTGTGAAGTTTTTCTTTGTTCTCTAGCAACTATTTTCCTTGGCTCTATTGTGTTGACTTCTCAGGGGCTTCTTTTATATCAATGGTTTTATGTCATTTGTCATCCTCGGAGACCCAGGGGGATTTAGTGGGGGCAAGGAAAAGTCTAAACGGGCGGAATCGTTCTTTACTTTTCTTCGCGTCATATTTTTCGGCCCGTTTAGACTTTCCTCCCCCCCCCCCCATCTGCCCCTGGGTTCCCGAGGATGGTCACTCGTGAGCCAGTCCACAGGTTGTTACACCGAGTATGAGCCGATAATTCCATCTCGTTGACGTTCAGTCTTTTAAAAGTTGGCCAATTAATAAGCTGGAGCTGAAGAGAAAAGATCCTTGTACATGTTGTAAGTTCAGAGAGAGACAGTAAAATTATTTTATTGCCTTGTCGCTTACGTTATCAAGAGAACTTAAAATTTTTGTCATTTCATGTCGCAGTTGTACATAAACGACAAATCATTTGACAGTAAAGCATGAGCAAAGTCGTTGTACGTTTTTGGCATAATCTGGCATAACAATGACCTTAAGGGTGGCATGAAATATATACCTGATTCAATAATATAAACGTGAATGCTTAGGGCATTGGGTAGCCCTGGAAAGCAGGAGCCCATCAAATGTGGAAAGCTATTGCTTGAAGGTCACTCAAGAAAATCATTACAGTGAGTTCCGTAAATCCTAAACGCCCAATTTGCAACTACCAATGACCGACTGCTAAAGCAACCTTTATTGGATAGACCTTTCCCGCATTCCTGTAAACAAAGGCACCAACTCGAGGGTCGGGTGGACAAAATACAGTGATTTGTAGGAAATTGTCCACCCGAGCCTCGTCTAGGCCTTTCTCGATTATGCTAGCATTTTTTTCGGCATTTTTTGGGAAAACGAGCATTTTTTTTCGTTTTTTCTTGAAAAAGAATTGCTAGCATTTTCTGTCATTTTTCATGACTGTGATCCAGACTTCAGCACTCAGAAGGGTGTTTTCAATCCTGAAAGCCTCATTCAATGAGCAGCAAGATTGCGCTCTCGTCGATTACATTCAAGCCAGTGTGATGGCACAATACAACAAGCGATAAAGTATACTGAAACGTAAACGTTTTATATGAGTTAGAAGTTGAACAGAATTGTGCTAGTCTGGGTTGTGTGTACCCAGCGCATGGTGGTGCTTCAAATATGACTGTTTAGTGGCTGTTGGCTGAAAAAGTTTTAATTCTGACCCCAAGTCTTATAAACAAACAATTATTAAGTATTACCTGTTGTTGATATGAGCATATAATGTAAGAGTTTGTACGTTTTGTTTGAAATAAAACAAAGCATTTTTTGGAATTCAAGTGGCATTTTTTAAAGAAATCAGGCATTATTTTAGCATTTTTTTGGCTTTATGCGAGAATTTCTAGTAGCATTAAATGCCAGATTTACTAGCATAATCGAGAAAGGCCTAGCCTCGTCCTCGTTTCTTTATGTTTGCTCACTGGAGCGTAACGCGGAAAAGGTCTATTAGGTATATACATGTGCATTGTGCTTATGACTTATGGTGAGTTTCGTAGGAACTAGACAGTAAGAAAAGCAAACCTGACGAAAGATTTTTCGAAATGGAGGGAAATAAGCTTAATGCTAATTCAGATTTCTGGAAACGTAGCTCCGGTAAGTTTGCTATTCAGTGTTTTAAAACTTTGTACACAAAAGCAGTACATTCTGTGGGCAGATCATCTCGCTCATAGTAAGGAACCTTTCTTTCTTTGAGTAGTTTCCAGTGCCCCGCTGCCTCTAGCTCCATCATCTTGCCGTAATATTCTTTCAGCTCATCGTTACGAACTGCACAACAAACAAGACCCCCTGCGGGACATTGAAAATACAAGAGTAAAGATTCAAAGGATGATTACACAATGAAGCTAAATTGATAATAAATTGATGATAATCGACGCTATGAAAAACAAATTCTAGTAAATCAAGTAAAATACTTCTACTGTTTAGAGCAGAAAGAAACAGGAGCCCATAAGCCTAAAGAGAGCATTGAATAGCTCAGTTGGTGGCTTGGACGCCAACCGTCCTGTCTCCATTAGGAGACGTAGAAATAATGTCCTCAGTTTTTTGCACTTTTAAGCTAAAGACATTGGCACTGTCAAAAAAGTGCGTTTCTTTTATAGGAACGTGCCAGTAGTTTAAAACTAGAGGTAATCATTGATTACGGATCCGCGTTCGTCACTTACGGAAACGAAATCGAGTCGAAAGGAGTTCAGTTTCCCGGTCGAGATGCCCCTGATAAGATTAATAGGGGCGGCTAATTTGTAGTAGCCCGTGATAGCTCAAAAATTTCTGCCTTTGTGCCACAGGAACAACAGATTGGGATGCGTCCTGACAAACGCGAAAACAAAAGCAAAAACAAAAAACAAACAAACCAAAGCACCCCCCCCGATACACAAACACTTGGTAAAGGTCAGGTCAATTTTATCGGAAACTGTATCCATTTCAGTTTAGTATTGTTCACCGAAATCAGATGACAAAAATTTTTGTAGTATTCCTCATAATCATAGTAAGCAAATGAGGCCACCACATCGAAAAGTAGGTGTGTGAAGATTCTTTAGACCCATATTTTGACTAAAGAACCGGTTCTAAACTACAAAATTCATTGCGGCATTTAGTGGTCACCACCACCTACAACTTTTAAATTGTCACGAAGTGTTATGGAGCGCTTAAACGCTTGAACACTTCTTTCTGACACAACGAGTTGGAATACCTTAGTTTTCCTGTAGTACAAAAATTGCCGAGTCAAAGCCCTGAAAGAGAGAAGCTATTAACTTCCGATCACTGTTTTTTATGTCCGGGACTTCACCGTCCGAGTTGCTTTTTACCGTTTTTGCGCGACGCAAATCAACCGGAAGTCGACAGTTTGCATTCTTGGGCAGTAGTTTTGCCTTAATCTTTGGGCAAATCATCTTTTACAACAGTAAAGACACTTAGCAATACAAATGTAGTGGCATCAAGGAATATTAAAAGGGAAAAGGCGTCACTTCCGTTTGATGTGCGCGGCTCAAAGACGCCTTAATCACTTGTATAAAAAACTCCACCTGCTTTCACCATCCTTATCAACTCCATAATAGCCACGGGAGGGACATGCGCAATAGCGAACACTCCAACACAGATCAAAACGTCATATTCTCCCGTTTCTATCTCAAGAATCCGCTGGTCACCCAATGCGGCGCAAATGAATTTCCTGTATACGTTCTTCTTCTTTGCTTCTTCTAACATTCCTGGTGAAATGTCAAGAGCGTCAATCGTAGTAAAGCCAAATTTATGAAGTTCAACGCCAACCAGACCTGTTCCAGCTCCTGCGTCCATCACCTTAATATTTTCATTTGTTAAGTCCTTTAGTTCTTCTTGGACCGCATCATCAAGCGTTTTCACAATTGGACTGAAACCCTTAAAGCGAGCTACTTCAAGAATATCCTGCAAAACACGATCGACATCAAACAATTCTAAGTATGAGATTGCCCCAAACTCCAACCCCTTACCCAATTTCAGTATAACAGTTAGAAAAACAGAAAAGGTACCTGTCTTGTATGAATTCCATTGACAATGGTACCGCTTTGGCATACCTAGTTTGGAACTTTGCATCCCTTTAACAGCTGTAAATGTAATGTCCTTTAAATATGAATATATCACAAAACCAGAACCTTTCAGCAGCCAAAAAATGCATCTGTTAGCCTTTGGGCCTCTTTACAGACCAAAATGACAAATTTCCCTACCCTTTCTGAAATAATTCTGACTAGTACAAGCCCTATCCTTTATACCTAGAGCCTGAAAAAGGCGTTATATGAAGTACCTCCCGGGAACACAATCACAAAGATTTTCAAACTTTTCTGAATAAACTGTTGCTTAAACAAACAAAAGTACCTCGTCATACTTTGTTGCCCAATCATCATAGAGTTTTCTAACTTCATCTACCGTTGTTTCATCTGTTAGGTACTCTAGTCTGTTGGAAAACACTGCATTGTAACCTGCCTTAAACGAGGTTGCTGCCATCTGAAAAGAAAAAATAATAACAAATACAGTGGAACCTCGCCTTACAGCCACCTCGGTAATATGGTCACCTCGTTACTACGGGCTTACATTTTCTTGTAAAGAACCCTCAATAACGCAGTCACCAGTCACCATTAGTAGGGCCAATTTTTTTGGCCCATTGCATTGGTGACCATATTCAGGGGGTTCCACTGTAGCCAAAAAAATACATATGTATAGACTTCTCAGCAGAACTGAAATCTTCGAGGATGGACAGCACCTTATCTTCCCTCCCCTCCTTCTGGTGACATTAGAAAGTTAAAAGGCGACGGCAATGAGGAAGTAAAAAATGCAAAAGAGGCTGACTCATTTGCTCCTGGAAAGTTTGCCAAAAAATGCCATTTTTGAGACCAGTTGAGCCTCGAACCCAAACCACCCAAAACATTGTTTTTTGGTTAGGCACTTGGTTGCCCTCTTTTCCAGATGCTAAATAAAGGCTCACCTGAAGTTCAGACCGGTGCAGAAAGCAAAACGTATGCATAAAACCTATGCATAAACACACTACATTATTAAACCATTGGGATGAGATTATTCAAGACAATAATTATAGCCACCTATGCAGCTATTTTTAGAGTCGTCACACAATGCTCCTCCCCACAGCAGCACTGCATGACAACCCAAAGAAAAACTGCAAAGGAGACTAAAGGTGCTTTCCATCATGCCAAATTTTCCAGAAATTTTGGTCCAAACTTAAATGGAATAATTTGGCCCGGGTGGAAATTTTCCGGTCAAAGTAGTCCACCTCCTTTGACCGGCCAAAAAATAGAGCAAAACCACGTCACCACAAACCCTTATGCCCTCCTCAGTCTTGTGCATGTGAAAGAGAGTTGCTGACTTTAGGAAGTTCCATTCTTAATCTCTCCCCTCATCCTTATATGGATGGAGCACACTCCTACGTGACCACCTGGCCTTTTGTTGGAAAATCTTTTGACAAATCTTTTCTGCCTGCCTTGATGTTTTTGGTAGCCTGGGATCAGGCTCTGAAGACCTTTCCCAATCTTCAGTCCACCACTAGGTTCACTTCGCTTGATGATTTATTTTATTTTGTTTTTTCCCGTTTCTTGGCCTTTTTCCCCCCACCACAGAGCCTGGTCCCAGCCTAGACTCTTTTGAAAACAGAGTCCTACCAGTCATCTGCCCAGGATCCTCATCCATTAAGAAAAGATGGGTGGTGGGGTGGGGGTGTCAAATCCCTTTTTCCATGTAGCTTTTGCGGCACACCGAGTTTGAAAACTTTGCAAAAATGTCAAGGTCTTGCAAGCAATTTTTCGGTGTATTTGTTTGTTGCTTTTGGAAAAAAAATAACTGAGTTTCAAATGTTAACTCTGCAGGGCTAGGTGGCTCCTGGGGCTTAACAATTGCTCTTGGGTGACTAGAAAATGTTAGGTTTTTCAAACAAATCATATGCTGGGTGCCCTAGGCCCGGTTCCTCAAAAGATGGTTAAGTTTAACTCAGGATTAAGCCAAATTTTAAGCAAGGGTTTCTTGTCTAAGAACAATTGTAACTCTAGTTTACAAAATACTGTTGTGCCTTGTGGGGGTTACTTTAGGAAGAACAACCTTTTGTTCAGCTGAATTTTAGTTTAAAACAAATCCCCCTAAAAAACCTAGTCTTCTTCAACCCTTCAGTTTCCTGAAAAATGATACCCTATTCTAGAGCCAAACGCTCTGATTTATATACCCTATCCCAGAGTAAACTGCTTGAAAACCATACCCATCACAGCGGCACATGCCTATATAGCCCATATATGGCAGTACCCCCCCCGGGATTATAACTAAAAATGTTACTCTAGGCGGCTTAACTGCAGAATACCCTGCGACTTTAAAGCAACCCCCAAAAATAGGTGGATACACGAATACTCAGTCACTACGTATCTGCGTATCCATTTTAAAAATATCTTTTAAATGATAGTCACTCCGTATCTGCGGATCCACTTCGATACACACTTAATTAAGACAGCATAAAAAGCATATAGCATGTCTATTTGTTGTTCTTAAAGCCACTGAAGGTAGAAAAGCGCATAAAAGGGATAACTGCGTATCCACGTATCTGGCTCTTTCAGGGATACAGCTTTGAAGTGGCAGGGTATTCTGCAGTTACCTCTGGGCAATGCATAGGAAGATATGTAAATACAAAAAGTGGACCAAACTTTAATCCTGGATAAGCACTAATCGGACTTTCAGGAACTGGGCCCTGGATTTTACAGGTTCATGGCACAGGGCTCCCTTCAATTTTCCTTGGTCTGTATATAAGCTAGCCCGCGCTTTTCGCTACTGGTGGGCTATAACCAGGCCATCTGATATTACGCGATGGTGTGATTTCGCACAATTGACCTCAACTCGCATCCGATCGCACAATTTGAGGAAAATCGCATAATTCATAAAAAAATGCTAAATTCAAGTAAAGTAAACAAATTATGAATTCTAACTTTAATTAAACATTTTCCCAATCTTAATGTTATTTAAGGTGATTTACCACTAAAGAAAGCCTTGCAATACATCTGAAACTTTGATTTCAGAGACAAGCAGCTTGGTCAGCGGTGCAAGGGCGTCATGTCATATTAAGTAAGTGTCCTTTTTCTTTCAGGATCAAATTTGACTATTTTGGTTTAAAATAGATGTTTTATTATTCCTTTACATTCAAATTCCCCGTTAAACAACATTAAAGTGGTTTTTCTCCTTTGAAACCTGGTAAAACAATGTAAATTAGCCCTGAAAAAATTGCATAGTTTATCGCATAATAGTCCTATCTTATCGCACAATCTACCCTGAAAATATTGCACAATTTCTGATTTTTTATCGCACCCTATCAGATGGCCTGTATAACATATAGCCTAGTAGTAGCACAACCAATCAGAACGCAGCATTGATAATAGACCACTAGATGGATTTTACTAATGAACAATATTATTCCTCGAGCCCGAATGGACTCTTGACTCAGAGCCCAGTCGGGCTCGAGGAATAATATTGCTCCTCATCCGTGATAGCGATGGTCAGCGTGGTCCCTGTTCCGGTCGATAAAATCCATACATTATTCAGCCGTCATCCCAAACTATTCTTTCAGACAAATGGTAAGCATTTACCAGCTCTGAAAGACTTACCTTGCGATGAGACTCCAACTGGCGTACAACGATCGAACCTCCAGACGCGAGCGCCGAGAATGCTGGGATTTGTTTTCAAAATTACAAATAAATTGGAACGGACTTCAAGTTCAATTGCTGAGGATTTGCTTTTAAATTCCCCATTAGGCAACATGTCTTGCTGATACCATTCATACTTGGCTCTGAGGTTAGGAGGAATAAAACAAAATCAAATTTATTATATATTCATTGCTAAACCTCAAGATGATTTCTTTTGTTTTATTCCCTGAGCCTTGGTACCGAGTCGGAAATTCAATTTATCGGAATTGGTCTACTGATTAAATTTCTTTTACCCCCTTGAGGATTGAAAACAATACTCATGTTAAATTTTGCGAGGAAAACTGAAGAGCATTATTGGGAATGCAAAAGTCAAGTGTGAATCTATGCGCATAACTCATACACGCAACAAGTCTATTACGCAATAGATGTTACATAAGCCTTTGAAAGACGTGAAGAACTTCGAAGACCTTAATAGGGGCCGACCATTTAACTCTTGAGGGGCGGGGGTGGGTGATTTTGAAAAAAAATTTCCTGCGACCATTTAGTCCCTCATTTTGAGGGGCGAAACGCGGGGCGGGTGAAAATTTTGTCGCCTTTTTCCGTGGGGCAACGCGCGCTCGCTTGTCGGCAGAAAAAAATTGCATGCAGCGCTTGTCGGCGAAAAAAAATGCATAGCACAAAAAAGAAAAAATTTGCGCTGCTGTAAGAAAGAAAAAAAAATGTTGCAAAGCTATTTCATCATTCCGGGGGTCTTGAAAAAATCGCAGCAAAACTACAACCATTCTCTTCCCTTGATCACTTTGAACTCTGGATTTGATGATGCTGCAAAATTATTGCTTCATATGTGCAATGCATTATTAGCTTATCACAAGCAGTATTATAAATGGAGGTAAATTTTTTTATTAAAGAATCAAGTTTTAATAGACAAAGGAAGTTTTTTTTTTTTTCATTTTTAACAGAAACATTTTTATGTAATTATTTTCTATTTAAATATAATATTTTTGCAACGCCTTTTTTCTATTTTAATAAATATAATATATTTTTTTAAGTTTTAGTAATGCACCTATCAATGTCTAGCCCCAATTGGGGGAGTGCAGGTATACCCAGGGGCTATTGACAATTGATTTCAAATATTTTTGGTCAATAAATTTCAAATTCCACACCCTATCTGCCATTTCAAAACTTAATTCTTATTCAAAACATCCCCTCCCTTGGACAAATTTCGCAGGTCACACTTGCAAGAGAAAGCATTTTGAATTGGAACATGGGTCCATTATCATGGACTTACAGAGAAGCAGTGCCCAGGAAGTGGCCTGTCTGTACAGCACATACTAGCACAACTTGGAACACCATCACATTGCTTTTATGCTCAACTGTGAGGTACTCAATGTAGAAGTGGACTGAAAAAAGGCTGAGCAAAAATTATTAGAGCTATTTTTCAATTAGACCATGATCGAATATCTTCAAGTTTGCTTTCACATTTGTTTTGAATATTTCAGTCCACTTTTAAATTGCAACTAATGATTCTAGCAGCAATTACCACGCTATGAGCATTTCTGAACTGCTTTTTGCTATTTTTGGCTATTTTTTAAATTAAGAAACTAAGAAATGAGGAGGGAAAAAATATCCTGCAGAGCATTTAGAAGGGAAAAAAATATCCTGCCCACCAGATTGCTAGAAAAAAAAAATTCTTGATGACCAGAAATCACCCACCCCCCTCAAGAGTTAAATGGTCGGCCCCTTAGTCTGCTACACAGCAGTTTTTAGTGTCGTCACGCAACGCTCCTCCCCACATTAGTGGGGAGAAGGGTTGCGTGACGACACTAAAAACGGCTGTGTAGCAGACTACGAAGCCCCTAGGCGTTACGATATCGAAGGATCTCTCACGGGATAATCATATTAGCATAACTGTGAACAAAGCTAACAATCTATTAGGTTTGATCAAACGCTCTGTTGGCACCACCAACGTAAATGTTTTCTCAACGTTGTATCTATCTCTGGTACGACCAATTCTTGAATACGCTCTACCCGTTTGGTGCCCTCTCGTCAAGGACATCCGCGCCTGGAGAGTATACAAAGAAAGGCATCTAGATTAGCACTTAACCAACACAAAGGAGAAGTGCCTTATGCCGATCGTTGTAAATTGTCGAAATGGCCGTCGCTATCTGACAGTAGAAATTATCTATCTTTAACTGAGTGCTACAAGTTCGTCGTTTGAATTTTCATGATTTCTTCGAATTCTCAAAAGTTGGGTCTACAAGCTTCTACAAGAGCGAATCACCCCTTCAAATTGTATGTTAAAAGTGCAAGACTCGATTGTTACAAATATTCTTTTTTTATTAGAATAGTTTCAAAATGGAGCGATTTACCAAGAGACATAGTAGAGGCTGAAAGCCTTCATCATTTTAAAAATAGGGCTTCATCATTATCTATAATTTAATAAATTTTAAACTAGAACCGTGCTTTAATTAAGGCCTTGATTTTTGAACACTTGTATTGTATTTGATTTATTATTATTATTATCATCATTATTATTATTTTATTTAACATTTTCTATTTCTGTTTGGGAGTTTAATATAGGGCTAACCTCTCAACTCCCTTTTCAAGATGTCTTTTAATATTATGTTTTTCCTGTAAATAAGCTTGTTTACATCTTGAATAAAATTAGTATGTATGTATGTCGCAAATAATCCGCTGAACAATTTCGGCTTCGTTTTACCATTTCCAAAACATGTCCGGAAAATCTGAGTGAAAAAGTAAATTGAATTCGGCTTTTTGTGTCTTTCCAGTGGAAAATCTACGGGAGCGACGAAACATCTGTTTTTCCGGAGAGAATGTTTCAAACGGAAAGTTTTATTTGTTAAAACCCATCTCTAAGGCCCGTTTCAAACGTCGTACTTCTGCCGCACCGAACTATATTGATCAAAGAATGAAATAAAATTCCACTTTAGCACGGCAGTGGCGCGACGTTTGAAACCAGGGCGTAAGAAGCTAGGGCATTGAAACGAGCGGGGTCCAGCGATCTAATTTAACTGCAGCAAGGCTTAATCAAACTTGATTCAAAAAATACTTTCCTGTTTCCTGGTCTACAATATTCAATATTAAGAGAGAGGATATAATGCTAGAAATGTTATACAGTAGTACAATCAAAAGATAAGGCACCTCCAGGAAATCGAGTTGGTCCCTACTATTCTTCAGTCATTTTCTTTTACTCTCTATAAGAGTTACTCGTTTTTCTTTCAGTGTGTGTTCTAGTAGTCTTTTCAGGCTGGGCACTCACTGTTGTCCGGCAAAAAACCATTATAATAACAAATAAACACATTCTATGATTTAATTTTACAGTGGAATCTTTGTGGGGATTTGAAAGCAAATTTCTCCATAGGCTTCATTCTGTTTCTGTCCAATACAATCTTTAGATTTATACCACAGTGAAGCAGAGTTTGTTGTTGTTGCGTTCGCCCTTAATTTGTGTTGGGTGTTGGGTGTTGGGTGTTGGGTGTTCTGTGCATTATTGGGTGACCTATGCAATTAATAAGGGAGGTTTTTTTGAGATTGCATTTTCGTTCGCCGTCGTCGACACACATTTGCCTCGCTTTGAGGCGCTTCCTTAAGTTTTGCCTCACTTTGACGCGCTAAGTAAATCTACCGAGATGTGAAGCTCGGCGGCGCCATTTGACCATGACTTGTGATATTTTCGGCACCGGACAAACAAACACTTTAACTCTGTGTTATTTATTAGGAAAAACTTAAAAATCAGCCCACAGTAGCGCCACTCTCGAGTCACTGAAATCAACACGCTCGACCAAATTACTGGAAAAGTTATTGACGTGAGCCGCACACACGTTCCATTGAAGGCTTTGATAGGGTTAGTGCGAAGTTTGAATTCAGATGTGAAAGCTTTTAAACCGGTAAATTCAATGTAATTCATTTTGTCAACAAATTGATGATTGGATGCTGTTAAAAATAACAGAGAAAATTATCCGAAGAAATGTTTTTGAATAAAGAAAAAGAATCCCGGGTTAAGAACTAATCGGCCTTTGAGAAACTGCGCCCTGTAACTCGCGCCAGTAAAACAAAATGTTCCATATTACACGTCCGACGCTGGCCAATGTCTCCTCCGACTAAAAGCACTTGACACCGAACCATACGATATCTTTTGAAAACGTTCTTAATTTGATGCACAGTTTAAATAGAGGTTTCGCTGTACGCAACCCTTACGTTAAAAATATGCCATAAGCACACTTATCCACATCGCAACCACCCTTCCGCCTCAACAAACATATCGAACGCACTCTCCTAAGCTCCGATTACTCCTAGTTTATGTAAAGACTGTCACACGAGATCATTCGAATGCAATTTTCTAGTAGAACTTTAAAAATAGTCAGAACCTTCTTGGCGCAAGCTTTGTCGTACTACACGGCAGTAGCTCGATTTGGTTTCAAACGTCACCGCCCTACTACCGTGCCGAACTCAATGCATAAATTATAAACACATTAGAATCATACATTTACAAGTTTGCTAAACCGTTTCTTTATTTTTGTGTTTTGTTTTCGGCAACAGCCGTTCTATTCGACAGAATAGCTAGTGTCGTGCTGCAGTCGAGCCAGCTTAGCACGTCAGTACCACGACGTTTGAAACAGGCCTAATACATGTTTCAGGCTTTCGCGGCGTTTTTAATTTTGGCAAAATGAGGAACTGATTTGGGCAAATGGTAAACGATTTTCCGGAGGGCAACTTACTAGTCCAGGATATTTCTTACCATTTACCCAAAGCGTCTACCGACCAGTCATGATCAGGGGCACCCAACGTCAATATTCGGGAAATATCTGTTCGGAAGACAATTTGATATCTACAATTTTCGGAACATTTGTTGTAAAATTTCTTGCTTGCCTGTTTCTCCTTGGATTTTCGAACATCTAAAAAATGGTATAATTGTCCACTTTTAACGGATTTTAACCCTAAAAAGGTCACCTAGAATTTTCGGGAGCATTTTCCTGGCTGAAGTTTATGAAAAGGTAAGTTTTGATCCCTATAATTCTGGGATCAATAGACTTTCAGCTAGGAAATCTGAAACGATGAAAAATTTTTAGGGGATAAAAATCTGCCTATATCTACCGTTTAAATACCAAAATACTTTTAACAATGCTATGTTTAAGTGGTTTTGAACTATGTTCTCGTTGGGTGCCCTTGACCAGTTTGCCCTTGTAAATGAATGGCAAACAACCCGTGAGTTTCCACATATTGAATTTGCCTGCCAAGTCTTGTTTGCTGGCGTGCAGACGTCTCCTATTTCCTTTGTTGCACGCGTGCAACAAAGGAAATAGGAGACGTCTGCACGCAGGCAAAGTCTTGTCTCCACATCAGCAATTTTTGATTGACACAATTAGTTCAACGGAGAGCTACAAAACTGATCATAAAGGACAGGCCTTATGGAGAGAGACTTCAGGAACCGAACCTTCTTTCCTTGGCCTCAAGGAGGCTTTTTATGGACTCAGCTCTCCTTTTTAAATGCATGATGGGCCTACATGATTTGGATCTCTGTCTTATTATCTTGTGACAGCTGACAATTATAACTATAATCTCAGACATGCTAATTACCAATTTAAGACAAGACCTGATGTTTTAAAATTTTCTTATTTCTTTAGACAGAGTAGCAAAATCATGGAACTCTCTGCCTTTAAATGTAAGAAAAACTGAATCTTTAAACGTTTTTAAGGATCGCCTGAAATCTTTTCTGCGTTTTAGGGATATTTCTACATTCTCTAAATTTATATTTTTTACAATGTACATAATTGCCACTTGTTTAGGTATTTATGATTCTTTTTCGCTGTTTTAATTTTCATTTATTGTGAATTTTAGGTAACCCTTCAGTGAGGGATCTAGTTCTTCTACTATCTTGAAGTCTGGTACTGGCTAATTCTATTTGGAGCCGAGGCTGATTAAGAAAAGCGAGGCACCGGAAAAAATGAAAAAAAAAAAAAAAAAAAAAAAAACACAGAAACCATATTTTGATAATCACGAGGGACTTCTCTTTTGTTTTAATGACATTTATGGCACTTTTAATACACAGCTATTGATTTTTTTGGAGTTTTTGTCAATGCTTCAGAACCTTGTAGACAAAAGCAGTACTCTCTGTTGGCATGTCATCTCGGTCATAGTAAGGAACTTTTTTCTCTTTGACTAGTTTCCAGTGTCCCGCTGTCTCTAGCTCCGCCATTTTGCCGTGATATGCTTTCAGGTCATCGCCACGAACTCCACAACAAACAAGACCCCCTGTAATACAGTTGGAAAAAGAATAGAAAGAATGTCATTGGTGAATAATTAGCAATTATACTTATTGGATGAGGCCAAGTAGGATTGGATAAAACCCTCCACTTGAAATCTGTATAACCCTCAAGATCATATGAAGGATTTATCCAATAATTGTTTTTTTGTTCTTTAATTTCCCCCGCCTTCTTTTGTCTGTTCGCTAAGCAGATTCTGGATAGAAAGGGATTTTTGGCCTAGCAGATGCTTTTCAAATATTAGATGCCGTTCATTGAGTTGAATTTTTGCTGTTCTTGCTATGTTTTTAGGCATTAGTTCGGCTTTTTCCTTATTTGGAAAACGTATGAAATTTTTTAGCATTTTCTACAGCTCTACCAAACTAAAGCAACCTCGTCTCCAGGGCTTCTCGAGTGACATTTTCTGGCGTTTGCCCAGTGATATGTTGACGTCATTTTATTGGATATCGTAAACGTCTTTCGAATTCGGTCAACGTTTAGGTGGCTGTAAAAAAATTAGCCGGGAGACCTGAGTTACACTGAAAAGGAGAAATATCTTAAATGAATATAACGATTCACATTATATCCGGTGTTTAGACGAATTATGTCCAAAATAAATGGCTCGTTTGCATGTGACGTTACGGCGGCCATGTTGGAGGTCAAGAGGAAAAGCATTTCTCTCCTCTGGGAACTAAAGACTATTTTCATGTAAATTCTTTGAGAAAAAATTATATTGTATTGACCACCAACATGGCCACCTTGTCACGTGGTTGCAAGCCAAGAATATGAGTGACTATTTGGTTACTGTACATAGGCATGGGCCATTAACATTCTTGAGGCTTAAGTGAAACCGGCCGGCTTAGTGCTTTGTCGTGTTGCACTATTGGACTTTTTTCGGCGACAAAATTGGACCCAGTTTCCTATGCGCAACTTTGTAATAGCCGATAAAAGAAGCGATAGAGTCCTCAAGAGAGTCCCACAGTGCGTGATTAGACACAACCCAATCGACACCAGTTTCACTAGTAACCTCGAAAGGGCCCATTAACGACAAGTGCTGCCTTATATTTTTTTCTTTAAAATGAAGAACTTATATATAACGTATTAATTTATTCAAGTCGTTCCACATACCTGCTCTCACCATCCGCATCATTTCCACAATAGCCACGGGAGGGACATGCGCAATAGCGAACACTCCAACACAGATCAAAACGTCATATTCTCCCGTTTTTATTTCAGGAATCCGCTGGTCACTCAATGCGGCGCAAATGAATTTCTTGTATACGTTCTTCTTCTTTGCTTCCTCTAACATTCCTGGTGAAATGTCAAGAGCGTCGATTGTACTGAAACCGAATTTTTGAAGTTCAATTCCAACCAGACCTGTCCCAGCTCCTGCGTCCATAATCTTGATTTTGTCCTTCGGGAAGTCCTTTAGTTCCGCTTGGACTGCATCATCTAGAGTCTTCACAATTGGATTGAAGCCCTTGAAGCGAGCTATCTCGAGGACATCCTGAAAGTCAACGCATCGTGTCATCCATATTCAGTCAACTTAAAAATAAAATATTGCTTTTCGTTTAAAAATCGATGCGGTTGGAGGAAAATTAAAAACAACTTGTATTATAACGAACCGCTGGATACCAGCCTTGAAGTTTAATTTCTTTCCAAGTTTGCCCCAAGTCTGTACTGTAATAGCCAAAATCAACCACAGCATCATTTTCACTGATATTTGAAAACTTGATAGTGCCATTTATACAAAGAGAGAGGCGCAAGGGGGTAGTTCGGAGCCTCTGGAATCCTCCGACGGGTGTACCCCTGGATACCGTTTTTAGGAGGAAATGCACAATTACTAACCCACCTTGTCATACTCTGCTGCCCACTCGTCATAAAGTTTTCTGACTTCATCCCCCGTAGTTTTGTCCGTCAAATGCGCGTATCGGTTTGAAAAAGCATTGTTATAACCTTCTTTGAAAGATTCCGCGGCCATCTGTTCTGCGAAGAAAAAAAATTTCAAACTACCTTACCAGCCATTCTTTGTGAAATAACCGTCGGTTCCACGAGAGCAACTCCTCGTTAAACCAGAATGACCTACCACAGGACACCCACACTCTTATTTGGAACCTGCAAATAGAAGTTCAATGAGAGATAAAAACTTACCTGTTCTGTTCTTGAATCTGCTGCGAAGCAAAGTGAAATGGAAGTTGTTCTACGATGCAAAAACGATGTTTGTGTCGGCACTTAAAGTTTGGCGGGGAATTTTTTTAAACATAAATATCGTGAGGCTCGTCACACAACTTTATCGAACTCAATCAAACGATTGGGTTCGATGAGTTCGGTAATGGAACACAATAGAACCAAAAATTTGCTTGAGAGTCCGATTAAGTTCGATTTCCGAACACAATCGAACCAATCGAACTGAATCGAACGTTCTAAACCAACACTCAAAATAGACAAGAACAAAGCAACAAAAAAACCAAGGAAATTAACTAAGATCATGAGGAATAAATGGTCCGGGTTTATTGAATTTGATTGATTGCTTCGTTTTACTGTAGCGCTGCTTTCCCTGATCCATGTGGAAGATGCAAACGTGGAGGAGGTCTGCAAGTGCCGATGCGATTGACTTTGACGTTACCTACAAGGGACGCTGTAAGGTTAAAAATACTCTTTAACGAAGTACAAACATTAACCACAAAGGACTGCCAAGGACCGCAAACGAATATGCAGAAGAACGTAGGATCTATAAAGACCTGATCAGCAAAAATGAAAAGTAGACATATTTAATTCTGCAAGCAGAATACTGCAATGCTGATGAAGGGTCACTGGGCAAAATAACTTATTTGGGTCCAGTTTAAGCAACATTAAATAAGTATTAAATTTGAAGATAGTTATAAGTCAGATTTAAGGGTATTAAACATGACTTAAAAGCAAAGTTTATTTTAAGTCATGTTTACGTTTCAGTTAAATGCATATTAAAACTAGCTTTATATTTAATATATATTGAAGTCACTTTAAACATCCCTAAATAACTGTAAGGATTTAATTACATTTGAGTCTTCTTAAATATGTCTTAAACGGAATGAAAGATTTAAGACAAATTAAAGTCTTCTTAAATATACCATTAAATGGACTGAAAGATTTAAGACAAATTTAAGTCTTCTTAAATATATCATTAATTATAAACGGACTGAAAGATATAAGGCAAATTAAAGTTTTCTTGGATATGCCAAAAATTTAATACCAGATTAAGTCGTATATTATTGATTTAAAGGTAAAAAAATATTAAATCATAATTATTATTCAAATGATAATTTAATAATAATACTTTTATTATTTATTATTATTATTAAATCTTTTCCAGAATTTATTCCAAGTCCATCGAAGCCTCTTTTAAGCCTAGTTAAGTCTGCTACACACTCTTTTCCCCAATCCCTTACAAGAAATTATCCTTCTCCATCCATGCATACAATTTTATTGGCCTTTGGCTTAAAATTTTCTGCCATTTTGGAATAAGGTTCACAAAAATCCAGCATATTATTAGAAGTCACTTGATCGTCTCCCTGAACGAACGCGCGCGCGAATGCGCGAAAAATATTCTACCACGCATGTCAAATCAGATATTGGTGACGTTAAAGGTACGTCAGCAATAGCACGCCAATCAAATGTCCACAGCTACAAACGCGGTATGTTTGATCACTGTTTTGACAGCGTCTTTATCAGTTCACTTCGAAAAGTTGTGGTGTTCGTTGCGAGCTTTTGCCCTGGTTTTTAGTATCGTATTTTACAACCGAATCATGGCTACATGCAGTCCTTCTCAAGAAAGACAGCTTGTGCTTATGGAAAGTATGAACAGGAGATTGGATTCATTTTTAGCGAGCCAGAAGAAACTGGAAGAAAAAACGCTTCAGCAGAAAAAACGCTTCAGCAAGAAAACGTCAAGTTGCGAACTGAACTCTCAAAACAGGAGAGACTAAATAACACCAAACGCGGCTCAAAACGTAAACGTGCAGAATCCAAACTAGAAGTTCCTGTGGATTTAAGGGTAGGTTTACGTACTTGTTTTATTGGTTTGATATTAGAAGAAAAGCTTTTCATCGTGAGAGATCAGAGTTTGTGCTTATTCTTTAGAGCTGACCGTGTGATAGCGTGTCTTCAAAGGCGCCGACATGCCTGTGTTGTAAAACATCGCAGGAGCCTACAAACCCACATTGTCTTCCCCTTCGCGCTCAATTTTAGTATTTAAGAAGTGAGAACATATATTTAGAACATATATTTATTTCACCATTGAATAACACGAGATCGATGGAGAAAGTTGCTGTTGGAAGCAACCGATAGTGATCGATGATGTGGTTGATCTCAAAGCAGAAGCCATGAACAGGGTTATTGGTTATATGCTTCTGTTTCAATTTGCAGGGTTCGCACAGTCTTGAAAAGTCCTTGAATTTCATTTTTTCCTTGAAATTCTATGAAAGTTCTTGAAAAGTCCTTGAATTTTCTTCAACTTTGAATGTAGTGGCCTGGAAAGTGTTTTTTGATGCTTTTTGGTTGTCCAAGACAGAATATGAATCATAGCTCAAAGGATTTAAAGGTTATTTACACAAAATGCTCAATGTTTTATGCAATAATTAACTATCAATTTAAGACAGGTGAACTGGAAAATGTAAAGAAGTTGGTGAAGCAAACAGTTCAAGCCTTAAAGCCTTATTAGAATGGACTGGGAATGTGCATTAACTTTAAAAGTTGTTCATAAAATTGGAAATAGTCCACTGTAAAATGTCATAGATAGGCTTCAGTTAAAATTGACTTATGACATGAATTAGGTCTTGTTTTAACTGAGGATATTTTACTGAGCCTTCACTTTGAAATTAACATACTGTTTTTGTGACAGTCCCCAGTCAGAGGTGAACCAGGACATCTTGTCTAAAATAAAAGAAGTTCTAAAAAAAGAACACGGGGGAGAAAATCGCCCATGGACTGATCTGCAAATGGAAGGTTTGTTGTTACATGAATGAGCCTGAGTATCTTATGAATAAGTGTGGAGATCGAGGAGGGTGTTATCGGCCGATAACTCCCTCCAAGATCTCCATAATTCTTCATATGATATGAAAGCCAAATTCAAAAATTGTTTTATTATTCATTCAAAATAATTCCTAGTTTAAAAATGTAGCTAAAACATGCTTACCTCCATCAGTGTTAAGTTTATCTTCGATAGTGCACGTTTAGGGTTGTTCAGCTCCGCAAATAGCAGATGTCGCCCTTCGAGTTGTGTTCCTGACATGTTTTTAGCTATTATTTTGCCGAGTTTTTACTCTTGAAAGAAGTGAAATGCCCTTAATTTTTTGTTTTCACCACCAAAACAACTCAACCTCTTCCCCTGGTCTTCTCGGTTAATGGTACATTAACTTGCAAGGAAGTAGCACTTTTGACATCATCAGTTGATTAAAACAACAATTCTTTCAAATTTGGTCATCAGTAGCTGGTTATGGTGAATTGTAGGTGTGCTTTTAGCCAATCAGAATCGGGGAAATATTTTGAATGAATAATAACACTTGTCATTACATAAACACCAATGAAATACCAGGTGAGCTTTCACTTGAAAACTTGGTATCTTCACATGTGAAAATATCACCGTTTCTATGGCTACATAATAAATCGCGCTTTTCATACCAAATTACTTTTAAAGTGAAATGGTTTGGTAGTTGATTGGTGTTTATATAATAAATAGAATATTACATGGCCGCTTGGAGATACGAAATTTCTCCTCCCTTGTTGAGAAAATAGCACTGCCTTTAGCTAAGGAATCAAGTTGTTGTCTGTAAAAGTTATGTACACTTACATGTACTAGTTCCTTTTCAACCCTAGGGGCAGTTGCTAAATTTAGATTTGAAGAAATGTCAGCAGGTTTTTTATAAAATGTTACCTACTTTAAGATTTCTTTTTGCTAATTATTGGTCTTTACGTCAACAGCTCAATTCCTTCGTTACTTCCGAACGGTAAAGGAGAAATGTCAAAGAATAAAAAAAGGAACTAATGAAGAGCGCAAGCAGAGGTGCAAAATGAGTAGGTGTCTCACAAGTGTAAGTATAAGGAAGTTTTTTTTTTTTTAAAAAACATGGAACATGGTCAAATATAGAAACTTTTTTTGATAATTATAAATGCAGTGGTATCCCATTAATAAGGACACCTGTATGTACTGGACAGTTTTCCATGTCCTCATGAAAAACAATGTATAATATGTTTATAATGTCATAATGATATTTATTTATTTATTTTTTTAACTGCAGTGTATGGGTGAGGCCACTTTTATCCTTAGTTATTTTATTTTTACTTTATTGAACAAATTCCATTATTACAAACATGAATTCAGGGTTCTCATTAATTTTTTGAAGTAGACAGCTAGGATGTTAAAGTAGGCGGCTTGGTAACTGAGTGCTGTAGGCAATTTCAGGCTTTCACTCTCTAACTTTACTCTATTTCCCCAAAAAGTAGACGGCTCAAACCTCCAAATAGCCATTTTTTTAGCGAGCTGCCGGCACTTAATGAGAACCCTGTGAATTGACAGATTATATTGGAGGCAAAGTCAGATGTCACTAGCGACACTGATTTGTTTATTTCCTAACGCCCGCCCTCTAGTATTCGCGGCACTAACTCCTGTTATAAGCCATCAACATATCCACTACCTAACATAAATTGATCTGAATATTATATTATTCTAAGCTTAACGCCTCTTATTTAAAGACCACTAGCCAAGAAACACGTCTTGACTTGAAAATAAAACACTTTGGGTTAATCCTTCGCATCCACAGATCAAAGACTTCTTGTGACTTAACCCCTGAGACTTCTCCTTGGCACTTCAAGGGTCAAATCAGCCTAGAGCAATAGTGTCATCATATATTCCAACGATCCAGAGGCAAAAGTACACAATTAAATAATCTTATGAACAAAGCGGAAAACCATTAAGTTTGTTATGTTTGTGACTATGAATAGGCCCCTGTTGCCTTTCACGGTAGGATTATTAAACAAAGCACATAAAAGCATGAAAACAAAGCACCTCAAAATTAGCACGCGCCACCACGGTTCAATGCTAATTGAAAACACAGTAACATGTCTCCAAAAAATCTTGTTGCTAAGGCGAAAAGAGCAAGCTATGAAACTTAATTGAAAATTGAACAACTTAAACTTTAAAATGTCCTTAATTCTAAGCTTATATAACGCTTCTTATTTCAAGACCACTAGCCAAGAAACACGTCTTGACTTGAAAATAAAACACTTTGAGTTAATCCTTCGCATCCACAGATCAAAGACTTCTTTCAGATCAATGTATGTTAGATAGTGGATATGTTGATGGCTTATAACAGGAGTTAGTGCCATGAATACTAGAGGGCGGGCGTTAGGAAATAAACAAATCAGTGTCGCTAGTGACATCTGACTTTGCCTCCAACTTGGATATGGGCAGGGAAATAAATTCAAGAAGTGCTATGTATCCTTATTACAAAATTATTTCTCACCCCTACTTTTCATTTATCTCATTACTTTTTACTTGAGGTTTTTGTAAGGTAACTTTCGAGTTCATGTCGTTTGAAACGACACTCCTTGTCCAACCATTTTTTTTAAAGATAAATGAAAGGTAATGGTGATAAACAATTTTGTAATAAAGATTCTTAGCACTTACTGATTGTGTTAAGGAATTTATTTATAAAAGCTTCTAATTCATTTCATGGTTTTTTTAAAAGAGACCAGACATCTTATTTCAACAATGGATTCGAGATCTTAACTTAGTCAATTTCTATTTTTATGAATTAACCCATTTTTAAGCTTTTTTAGGTTGAATGAAGGACAAGTTTTCATCTACAGTACAAACATTCTGCTTTGTTTAATAATCCTGCCGTGAAAGGCAACAGGGGCCTATTCATAGTCACAAACATAACAAACTTAATGGTTTTCCGTTTTGTTCATAAGATTATTTAATTGTGTACTTAGTTCAACTTCAATTATGATTTCCATAAATTTTGATTTTCTGAATAGTAGTTGCACCACTTTCATTTATTTTTCTTAATTAGCTTCATTCTACAACAGAGCGGCATTTCACTGCAACACCTAAGTCTTAGCAAATAAAGCTCGTTTTTAATTGAAGTATTTTTTGAGTGATCACATAGTTTTTCTGCCAAAATGAAAAAAAAGTACACCATTCGAAAAAAAAACTTCGAAAGATTACAAGTTTGAGAAATACCCAGTTTTTCAAAACGCTCAAAATGCAATACAGTTGATCCTTCGCATCCACAGATCAAAAACGTCTTTCAGATCAATGTATGTTAGATAGTGGATGTGTTGAAGGCGTTTGTTAAGAGTTAGTGCCGCGAATACTAGAGGACGGGAGTAAATCAGTGTCGCGAGTGACATCTGATTTTTCCTCAAACTTGGATATGGGCAGGCAAATAAATTCCTTAACACAATCAGGAAGAACTAAGTATCTTTATTACAAAATTATTTCTCACCCCTCCCTTGCATTTAGTTATTACTTTTTCCTGTAGGTTTAATTCTCTTTTTTTTGTACTTCACTTTTTTATTAAACTGAATGACGCTTGATAATGGGTGGGATTAACTACTTAAGTGTTAACACTAGGAAATGGTGTTAATCGTAATGTCATTTTTCTTTTTTAAACCTTAATGAGGTAAAATTCACTTCTTAACACGGTAATGTTAAATGAAGCTACTACGGCAAAATTATTGGCACCTTTTTGCCTCTGGCATTTTTAAGAGCAATGATCATTGATGCAATGCAGTCGCAGACAACCTAATTCTCCCCAGAAACTTGCACCTCTGGTATCGTTTGGTCCTTCTCATCGTTGGATCGCACCTTCCCGTATACGTAAAAAAATCCTGGCTACAGGCCTGGACAGCGCGTAAGCATGCTTATAAGAAGGCGCAAATATTCTAAGAAACGAGATAGAAAACAATCAAGTCGCCAATGGCGCGGTCTGCAAAAAGGACTCCCCCAAAAAAGAGGCGCACATCGGGCCTGAAATATATTAAGCTCAATAGAATTTAATCAATAAAATTTGTAAATCAATCCATATCACAAGCGTGAGCTTATAAGTGCCACGCGTATTAAACGTTAACCGGCGTCTACTCAAGAAGTTTTTATTATATGAAGCAAGCGAGGATATAAAGCTTTATCCTCCCCAGCACGGTTAATTTACTTCATTGATCGAGGGTGACAATAAGAATCAACTCAATAAGGCGGAGTTACACAAATTTATTCAAAAAGCTTCCAATTCATTCAATGTTTTTTTTTAAAGAGACATGAGAATGGAGACAAAAGATAGCCCCCTCAACTCATCAACCAATAGAGGTGATAAGTAATTATTTACTTATCAAGTCACCAAAATGGTTATTGTTGAAATAGTGTATTTCTACGCCCACATCAACCAGGATCAAGCGTCGCCAGATAATTATATAAATAGGAGCAAAAACTATTTCAAACCATCATTCATTCTTGTTGCTTGACTTCACCGTAGACATGGATTCAAGACCAGCTCAAGAGAAACGACGTAAGTTTTGAGAATCTCATTTTCTAAATTCATACCTTCGTAATGCCAACTTAAGACGTCAAGGGCACCCAACGACTGTTTCCTCCGAAATACATTGAAAACACGTTTCAGGCTATCCAGAGTACGTTTTGACCTCTAGAAATACATTCTAAGCGGCGCCATAAAATTTGTACCTCTTCGGTCATTTTAGCGGAACTTGAGTCTTATTGAATTTACAAGGGCTTCAGTATTTTTTTTCTGAAAGTTTTCGCGGCAATTCAAGTTATTACAAAAGTAGATAATTTTTCTGATTTCTCTCTCCATCACATTTTTTTCGAAATCTAAAATTTTAGGTTTCCTTTTTTGTATGAAGAATAGCCCAATCTGGGGAGTGAAATGTGAAAATTAAACTTCAGAAAAGCGTAGGGAATTTACTAGATAAGTGTCGAAAATTGTCAATGAATGGACAGTCATCTTCAAATTTTTAGTATTCCTTAAACCAAGTAATAGAAAATAATATTCCAGGCAATATTTACTTCTTCGAACAGATATTTTACAGAAAACAGTCTTTGGGTGCCCCTGAGACTTCTCCTTTGCACTCGAAGGGTTAAATCAGCCTTGAGCAATAGTGTCACCATATAGTGTTAATGTAAAACTGTATATTCTCTTTAAAAGTTTTTAATTTCATTTACACTTTAAGTTCTGTTAAAATTTTGTGCATCTTAACATAAGACCGAAGACATTGCGTAGATCATCATAACAGTCGAAAGATCAGTCTCCGTTAATCTTATGCATAAGTTCAGTTGTTGATGCGCCGGAAAGAGTCATATTATAAATGCGACACTTTGCGAGACATTTCGACTTCAAGTTATTTCCCGAGACAACCTTGGCGTTTAACTACACTCGATTTTACAAGGGGCACGCTAGTTATCACGACCTTAAACGACTTCTCTTTTAATTCCCAGAAAGACGTCGCAGAACGAAATTTTCAGACCAGCAACTTGCTCGTTTGGAGGAAATTTTTCAGAAAGACCCATTCCCAGGAATTTACTTAAGGGAGAAACTAGCGCGAGAGCTTGGCCTCGAGCACTGCATTATCCAGGTAAGGTTTGTGCAATTTCCACACATACTATTAAGCAAATACGCTATGAGTTCTGAAATTTGTAACTGAAATCTTAGAGTGTGACCATTCAAATGGAACCTCTTCAGAAAATGTTTTCCCCTGCTGAGGACCAGTACCTCTTGAGTCTGTGGATAAACACCCCGTTCCAAATTCAGTAAGTAAAAGGTGCCAGGGTTTTTCGAAAAATAGGAGGTTAACAAATCAGACAATTTGTAAGTTTAACTAAAATATGTCTTATTGAAGGGTGAAAAACCAACATTTGGTCAACATATCTTTTGTCTTAAAATAGTGTTTAGTGTGATATTTTGTATGTCTTGAAGAATGAACAGCACAGTGTTGCATTATATCTATGGTTTTTTTTTTCAATTTAGTTTCCTCTAAAATGCTTAGATTGAAATCCGTGGCATGAATTTTACATTTTAGTTGAGCTCAAGGAATGAAAAAGTCTTTCATGGGGTGTACTTTCAGTCTGACGTTATAACAAAATATTGAGAATTTAAAATTGCTTTTTTGTTTTTATTGTTTTTTCTTTAAAAAAGCCGTCAGAAGAAACATTATTTTGCGAAATGAGTAGAAAGAAAGTGATGTTTACCAGTGTAGCTTGGTTTGGAAACATGTGATAATAGTACAAAACAATCCCCCAAGTGATTATCAAAAGGCCGTTTTTGTTTTTATTGTTTTTTCTTTAAAAAAGCCGTCAGAGGAAACATTATTTTGCGAATGTAGATACAATCGATCATACGATGCGACCATTCATATGAAAACACTACTATTCCGCAGTTATGCTCAGTATCACTTGGCAGAAACTAATTTTCATTATTCTACACGACATGATGTTATTCTTGTATTTCGCATTTTGGGTAACGTTCATTGTTAGAAGAGGTTAGTTATCTCTTGTGTAATTCCTTTACTAACGTTTTATTTTCAATCCCAGTGTTGGTTCCAAAACCGGCGTAGCAGATTGCGGAAAAAAACGCCGACGCCTACCAGAGACACGCCCATCCAGCCGCCATTCATACAGCCCACTATAAACCCGCCAATTGCAACGCCCCAGTTCATCACGCAACAGCTACTACAGCCCATTATGAACCCGCCAACGGACGACGTTTTTCAGCAACACAATATCATGGAAGGGCTAATACAGCCCACTATTAACCCGCCAACGGACGACGTTTTTCAGCAACACAATATCATGGAAGGGCTAATACAGCCCACTATTAACCCGCCAACGGACGACGTTTTTCAGCAACACAATATCATGGAAGGGCTAATACCAACCTCGTCCCCAGGGTCTTCTCGCTTTCCAATATGGCGGCGGCAGGAGAGAAGACCCTGGCACACAGCGAACTAAAACGATCGCTGATTGGTGCATTCCATAGCGCGTTCATACGTGCGCTCTCATTGGTTTATTCCTTCCAAAACAAAGATGGTTGACCTTTGAGGGCTTTGTAGAGGCTTAGAAGTGCTTTCTTCAGTGTTTGAGACCTAGAAGGTGGACAGAATTCAGGTCTGATTGTTCGGAAAACTGTGACTGTACCGTTGGAAGGCAAAGATTCGAATATAGTGATATCTGGTAATCGCTGGGAATATTATAACGCGTAGAGGTATTTCTGTTACTCGTGCTATTTGGTTTGTGTGTTCCGAAAATTACTAAAGATTTGTTTCTGTAATTCCCGATTTGTGAAAGAATACTTAAAAGGCTTCAGCTTATCAATAAATTTAGCTGCCCGTTGCAAAGGTGTAGTATTGTTCTGCCTTTTGTTTTCTTTGAACAAAAGCTGTATGCATAATATTATTAATGTATGGGGTTATACGGAAATCTTGCATAATCTGCGCTTTGTCTCAACAGTTTTTTGTCAAGTGAAACATTCTTTTCATTTGATCGTAACATTCATGGGCCTAACCTGGCCTTCTTTCAATTTTTCCACTGTGATTTTGAAGGGGGACGAGGAGCGAGAGAGGCAGATGTCGAAACAAAACTAAAAATTGAAGCCAAACATAGTGTCGCTATCATTTGATATTTTTAATCCTGACTTTTCATTTATTCAGTTTTTAGTGTCACAATAATGATAATTTATTATTGTTTGCTCATTTCATTGGCAGTAAAATACAGCTAAATACAGAGACATTGGGAAAATAAACTGTTTCCTTTCTCAGAAATGAAAAACTTACATATTGATGTATTGAAGCTTGTGGGATTTCTTTCTAGTTGCAAAAATAAAATAAATGAAAGCACATGATGTCTTTTATTTTATCAAGTTGAAAACAGTGATCAGCCCATTCAGGGAAATCTGACAGTCTTGGATTCTCAATTTTGCGCCATGGATACCGCATTCTGGATTCTTTGTCAGTGGAACATGGATTCCGCATTCCAGTTATAAGTGGGATCCAGAGTACTTTAGGACCTTTATTCCAGATTCCAAGAGAAAAATTTCCCAGATTCCAGACATGGGGTGACAGTGACCCCAAGATAAATATGTTTTCTGTCAAACTAAAACCTGTCAATTGAGCTTCTAATTACTGTAGGCTAAGTGTGCATGTTGTTCTTGTCACTGCATGATGTTCTTGTCACTATATCCTTGAAAAGGGGGTTTGTGGACCAGGTGAAAAAGTGGCTGGTACTGCAGTATTCCAACACCAGCTGGGTATGATTGTGAAGCAGCTATAATTCAGTTCTAAACCTTGGATTTAAAAAAATAAATTACTTCAAAGGGTGCATATATCACTATCCACTGAATAAACAAGAGCGGAAGGGGCCTGGAGCATCTCGATCATGGGATTTTTCATGTCGAGATACAAAGGCTTTTGAAGTGTTTTGTGCCAGAGTCCCCATTAGCATAGTGAGCTTTTGGTTGCCTAGTCATGGCCAATGAGTTTTAGGTCACGCGGTCCCAAGCGAAATAGTGAAACAGTTTCCCTCCAGTTTGCCTAAGATAAGTCACCGAAATGAATTGACCAAGAATTAAGGCCTGGGAAAATGCCACACAGGGACAAGGCAAGGCTTTTATCTTGTTTAGGTGTTGCGGTGTGAGGTTGCAGCTGTTAGATGTGCTGGCTTAAATACTTTCAAAGTCTACTTTAAGGTGTTGGTTAGTCTTAGTAATAGTGTCTGTATTATAATCATATCGTCAGAAATAATCAGATTAACCCAACTATTAAACTGATAATCTATTATAGTAGATTATAGTTTTGTGCCCCCTGTGTGCCACTTTCAACACTGAAAATAATTTTGTAAGTGAACAAAAAAACCTACCCTGCAAGCAGAGGCTTATCTGTCACATAGTTAAACCAACTAAACATCGTATAAACTAAGTTAAGACCCCATCAAAAAGACAACACAGGTGTATTAATGTCCTTATTTGTCAACAATGTTTTTGTGAATTTTCCACAACAATCAACTGAACATTTGTATAAGCAATACTCACTTTGCTGTAGGTTTCTGATGCTTTATAGATTATGATCGATAATCAGCACACCGCTACCAAGTCATGTCTCAATTAGAGTACGATAGGGCCCATCTGACGAGCAAAGCGTGTTTGACTTAAAACATCTATTATCTCCAAATGAGATAGGAACTTTTACTGTGCACATGACTCAGATAGGACTATCAAATTTTTGAACAACTGGAGTCTAGCCTTTAGTCAATTTGCACATTGACATGGCAAAGTGCAGCCCCAAGTAATATGTCAAATAAACCAAAGTCAGGGATTAAGGAAGTTTTTGCTCTGAAAATCAAATCTATTTCAAAGTGGAGAATACATTTTGGATTGCTATATTACAAACAATGGAAACACTCTTCACCTTTTGCTAGCTATTAAAGCGGGGTTAATGCTTTTTTTTACATCTGAGAGGCAAAAAAAAAAACAATAATAACAACATCTTAAATCCTCTATTAAGGCCCCCTCTCTCAAATAAGCCCTCCTTTTCAGTGAAAGAAAGTTTTAACAATAAGCCCCCGTCTTTTTTAACCCCCATCCCACCTTAAACTAGAAAGGGATAACCTCTTTTATCTCCTTTTCACTTTCCGATGTGGATTTGTGAATAAACAGTTATTATTATTATTATTTTCTTATTCTTCACTAATAAATAAGAGACTGTATAAATCAATGAAAACTGTAAAGCTTTCTGTGGACCGATCCAGGATGATTTATTCACCAACTGGAAGTTCGGATTTGTTTTTGATCCTCGGCTGCTTGACCTCCAACCTTCTTGTACTTGGGCTTTTTCACTTGGCATTTTTTTTTGTGGGGAACTAATACCACCGTCTTTGCTAGATTAAGGCCCCTATCTCTATTGCCCGGAAGCACTGTGAACGGGGTTAGATATCAAAAGCCAATAACAAAGTCTAAAAACTGTGAAGTAGATGAAGATTAACAATAATTTTATTACCTGTACCAGTTCAAGTGACAAAATATCCAAACTGACCAAGGAACTGTTTAATTTTCAACCAAAGTTTCCTCAAATTATATTAACAAAATAGTGTTCTCTGGTTCTTGTTTTCAGAAAAAAAATTGTTTTTTACATATCAGAGTTCAGTTAAAATTTTTGCAGATAGAAAAACAATAGTCAAAAACCTCATGAAGATCTGTAACAAAACTGACGATAACTTATCAGCTTAAAGTGTCTGCGACTCAATTTAATGCTTAGTTGAATTTCGGAGCGGAAGAGGTCTTAGAGCGTCACGTCATGACAAAAAATTCCCTGGCTTCAGAGGTCTGTTCTCGAAATTCCTAACATGAAGAAATAAATTGCGCTCACGGTTAGAAAAAGCTCCCCCTTTCACGAAAGAAGAAACCTGAACCTCTGGCGCTCAGGGTACGACAAAAAAAGAAAACGGTGAAAAAAGGTCGGTATCGAGAAATTAAGTTGTAGACAGCCGTGTGCGCTAGAACTTTCAGGCTTAAAACAAATGAAGGTCATTGAACAGAAAATAAGATCGCTATATCATTCTACCGTATTCCTGTGGCTTGTAAGTGTATTCTTTCATATTTTTAGCTTCTTTTGAGTTCTGCCTTTGCCGCCATTTTGTTTGTTTTTCACCAGTCTCAAGACCTCGTACCCAGATCCTCTCACTCTTTATCTTGGCCGCCATTTTGAATAAATTTCCACTCTCCGTGGACAAATCAGTCACGTGATTTCTACTGTGTGCCAGGGTCTTCTCTCCTGCCGCCGCCATATTGGAAAGCGAGAAGACCCTGGGGACGAGGTTGGGCTAATACAGCCCACTATTAACCCGCCAACGGACGACGTTTTTCAGCAACACAATATCATGGAGGGGGTAATACAGGCCACTATGAAGCCGCCAACGTACGACGTTTTTCAGCAGCTAACGTCATTGATCGCCCAAATACAATAGCTGAGGCTGAAAGTTTGAAAAGGACTCAATGTTGTATGT